TACAGGAAGAGAAAGATCTTCCATCTGCAGGCTCACTTCCTAAGTGGTTGCAACTGCCAGAGCTGAACCGATCTGAAGCCAGGAGCCAAGAGCTTCTGGGTCTCCCTCGCAGATGTAGGGTTGCCCTCTACTGCTTTCCCAGGGAACTGGAAGGGACATGGTAGATACGGGAATGGGATCCCAGGCATGCAAGATGAGGATTTAGCCACTGGGGTATTGCACCGGCATCTGGATTGTTTTCTGTTCTTGAGCTTCTCCTTGCAAACACAGGACAGTAGTGGGTGATGGGACGACTTTGAGAATGTAAGAACCACAACATCTGATGTAGTACTAAATAAACATTAAGATTATGGTGTCAGTTTTGTCTGCAAGATGTGATGTTGACAACAGTTCCTGTCATCAGGGTGGTGGTGGGGGGGGTAGGAAATGAGATCATTTAGACAGCACTGAGCCACCGGGGACAGGCTGCACCCGCTCAGGTTTCCAGTCTCCCAGCCATTCTCTGGGGAACAGAGTGGCCGAGCTCCTTCGCAGACTCAGTGCTGTGAGGTCACCATCAGGGGATGCGGGACTAACAGGAGCTCCCCTGGGGGGGAAGGCTGTTTGCCCTTGGGCTGGCCCCATGCAGGTGGTGGTGGTTGGGAGTGGCATTCCGTGTGCTCCACAGAAGTGGCCTGTCTCTGAGAAGTGGCCATGGGGCATCGGGAGAGTAAGCAGCCTCCTTCCAGGGATGCACAATTCCCATGGCATGGCCATGCCCTGCTGGGATTCCTGGAGTCAAGCACTGTCCATCAGAAAGCGTGCATTTTTACATCTGGAGGTGAGACAATTCTTTAAGGACTCGCCACGGAAACGTGCCTAAACCATCTGATATCTGCTTCCCCTTTCCCCTACATTTTTCTTGGGCTTTTTGTCCCCCACAGCAAGCTCGAGGTAATGCTTAGAGCTTCCGGACATGATTGAGAGGTGGGGGCGAGGGGTTGACTGAATCTGCGGGTTCCCCCAAATCTTCAAGGAACCCCGGGTTGCAGTGTTACAGCCGGAGGACTGTGCAGGGGGAGCCCTCGGGGTGATAGAGACCAGACATTGTGAGCTATGGGAAGATCATCCAAGGAGAAGCACCAGAACTCCCTGCTTCCCATAGAATTCACTTGTAAGAGGCTTCACTGTCTCCCCCGTGCGTATAGGGAGGTTGGCCTAAGTGAGCCCCCAGCTCCAGCCAAACGCTCGCTGGTGCCGGCGTGGCGGCAGGACGCTTGTCCTGGAGTGCCACCTAGCAGCAGGAAGACACAACCGCTCACCCCCAGAACTGCAGATGCCCCACAGCCCTCCCGGGGTGTACTCAAAGGGGAGTTCAGGGAGGAAGACCGTGGGTGCGTAACCTCAGAACTGCCAAGGTGTCCGCCACCGCACTCGGTGGGGGGTCGCGGCTCCCCCCCTGGGCCCTGGGGGTCACAGATTCTCCCCATGGGCCCTGGGGCAGCTGGTCCAAGGCGGGAGGTGCTTTCTGAGAGCTCCCCCAGGTGAAAGCAAAGCTGGTGACACCACCTCTGGTTGCATTATTGTTTAAAACCCCATTTTGTCACATAATGCTGTTTTTAAAAGAACAGAAACCTTAATTTTAATCTTTAAATCTCCAAAATTATAGCTTGCAAGTCTGGACACAATAAACAGCCCTAGAAATCGTGGAACAATTCTGTAGGCATGTGCGTGCTGTAGGAGCCAGCCCTTTGTGTCTGACACTTGCTGAAAGTTAACGACTGGAATGGAAGTGAGGGATGGATTGTCCGTAACTTACAGAAACTTGGGAACTCGTTAAGAAGCTAGTTCTATCAAGCTGTAGCAAGGCTTTGTCTTACGCATGCTACGCTCGTGATCTGCTCAGAGACAAGGCAGGTTCAGCGGGAGCTGGCCTCTGAACGTAGCTGACGTGCATGACGCTACGAGACCTCCTCTTTCAGCTGCTGTCAGAAGCTGGGTGCCAGGTGGGTTGACCCACAACATCCAGGATGGCTAATTCTGAAAACAGCCCGAGAAGCCAGCAGAGGACGCATGTTTACTAACTAACAACACTTTCCACAGTGACTTGGTTTCTGTTGCAGGCTCACCAGGACTCCTTAACCTTTTGAGATGCAGTTGTTGCTGAGCCTCATGTGAAGGCAACAGCTGATTACTGCTAACAGAAATTAATCAGCGTTTCTGAAAGGTTCAGCAAAGATAAACCTGCATCAACAGCCAAAACAGTCTACCTGACCTTCACCTGCTCTCGCTCGGCCTGCGACGTGGCGTCCGCTGGGTGTGATCACCCCGCGTTAGCCCAACATCCCATCCCTCGTCAGCTCTCTGCCCTGCACAGTGAGCAGCACTACTTTGAAAATCCAAAGTGAAGAAGAAACACTCTGACCTTGCTTGTATATGTGCTTGCTTTCTCCTTCCAAGGAGACAGTCACCCTCGGGGAAGGCATCCCGTGGGGGGGGGGGAAGGCATCCCATGGGGGTCTCCTCTCACCTAGAGACGGACTTAACGGAAAGCCGCTGTCATGGGAGTACATTCGGCACCTGCGAGAGGTCTTCCCACGCGGTCTGCTGGACGGATGGATGAAGGGCAAGTTTTCCAAATGGGAACCACCTGGAAGCAAGCTGCCCTTGGCCGCAGGCTGCAGCAACGGCTCCGGGTGAGGAATCAAGGAGGCGGCTGAGTGTGTGAGTCGGAGGGGTGAGGTCTGGCATCTGACATCTGGATGGGACTAAAATTGGGCTTAAGCACTTGGATGGCGGCTTCAAAGGACCTGACATACCACCATAAACACGAGAACAGACATGAGTCTTTGGAACCCAGCTGTTCGCAGCTTATAAAGTAGCTCCAATGTGACCTAATGTCTACAATAAAGCAAAGGTTTATAAGGCTAAGGTGCCTAAAAAAAAAAAAGAGATCATGGCAAAAATGAAGGCAAATGTTTTAGTCAGTGAGAGACAAACCTATTTTCCAAGTATACACATTTTGTATTGTTACATAACTAAAGTTCTTTGGATCACACACCAAGTGAAAGCAGAGTTTAAACGATCCCGGCTCCAGCAGGCCAGTGACACCAAACCTTGGTAACTGGTGACTAATTGCATGTGACAGAGGACAGCTGGTAGGAATGAGGCTAAATTCAAAGTGTATGGATTGAGCTGACTTCTCAGGGCAGGTCAAGGTCCGAACAGGCTATGCAAGGTGACAATGTTTTCAGCGTCTTTGTGATGGCTCCTGAAAAATTATGGACAAACCATTTCCTTGGCACCATTGTAAGGTCAATTCTGAGAGGGTATCAAACATCTCCTAGGAAAGCCTTGAGACTCAGTGTAGGCGCACAGCAAACTGAGGACGATCGGGATGTGCTGGCTGCTCACTCCTTACGATGCCCTGGTTTTCAGATCTAACTGTACCACTGGCTCACTCTTTAGGGTCAAGAATACGAGATCTTTGTAAATTGGTCCCTCTGTCCCCTGAATAGCTAGGGTCTGTTCAGCCTCAGAACCACTGTTCTTCTGGATTGGGTCTTCTGGCTTGCGGTCATTTAAAGTGCACAAGGAGGAGCTGCAGTTTCCCTTGGGCAGACCGCTGAGCTCCGGGAATCCAAGCACATTCTAAGGATTCTAAAGGGAAAATTATTACACTTTGGGTTAACTTTGCTTCATCACTGCTTAAAGGTTTAGCAATAACATTTCAAATCAGGAGGGGAACATCCAGCCCATAGGACATACAAATCTGGCAAAATCATTTGGTCCCATTTTGCCAAGGCAATCAAAGGCAGGATCTGAAATTCACTAAGTCTACAGCAGGCTAATTTTTAAATTGACAGCTTTGTCCGGCCCAAGACCAACAGGAGGTCGGGTCTGCACGGCTGTGCTATGTGCAGATGAAGAGCAAGTGTTAGGAGTACTTAACACTTTCAGAACCAATTCTGAATGGGGAGTTCACTCCAGGAGTAAAACAATGTGAGGGTGAGTATGGAACTTCAGCCCAAAGGAGTGAGTGTCACTTGCATTCTTTCTAGTGATGATTTACGCCGTGAGCTAAGAGAACTGTCATGATGTATTTCACACAATTTGACTTGAGAGTGTGTCAAGTCCTATACATGCTTTGCCACTGCCACCGTCCAGCTCCTGTGCCTCCCCCCCGAGGTGCCCGGGCACTGAGGGCACTGCAGAGGGCTGTGGCCCCCAAGGTGCCCGGGCACTGAGGGCACTGCAGAGGGCTGCAGGCCCCCGAAGTGCCCGGGCACTGAGGGCACTGCGGAGGGCTGCGGGTCCCTGAGGCTCCTGGGCACTGAGGGCACTGCGGAGGGCTGTGGCTCCCCGAGGTGCCCGGGCACTGAGGGCACTGCAGAGGGCTGCGGGCCCCTGAGGCTCCCGGGCACTGAGGGCACTGCGGAGGGCTGTGGCCCCCGAGGTGCCCGGGCACTGAGGGCACTGCAGAGGGCTGTGGCTGCGGCTCAGGAATAGCTTCTGCTGAAGGCAACTGCATTTTCCGCTATATTATTTATATGACCCAAACTTCAAGGTGTGGACTTTTTATTACAGATTTCAATATTTCAGAGAAATAATGATGACCTGTGACATAAGACTTCAAATTAGAAAGCAGATACCTTAAAATCCAGACATTCTTTTTCTAAAGAAAAGGAGGTGACAATATTTTTGTCCAGCTAAATATGGATCATGAAATTTTACTTTTCACTTTTCATTTATCAGTCATGATATGTACAAGGAAAAGATACACAAACAAAAAAACAAAAGCTCGTTTAAACTACTGCACTAAAAACAAAGCTCAACTACAGAATAATCAATAAAAAATGAAACCATTAAATATCAATCCTTACATCTCAAAGTGGATTGTTAGTATAATAAAGCTAATATATAGCCACTCAGAAAAACAAAAGCATCAACAGCACCTTGCTTCAGCCCCACTTCACCCTGAGGCCCTCCAGCCCTCTGTCTGCCCTGGCCCTCCCCTCCTTTCAGGCTTCCATCCTTTTCACACTGGGGTACCAGAGCAGGAGACTCTGGGACGTGGCCAGCCGGGCAGCGGCTCCCAAGGCAGCAGTGGCTGTGCTCCGAGGAATGTAGAGTTTCTGGGAAATCTGGTGTTCGGGAGACAAAATCAGAGAGAGCTGGTCCATGGCCCCTTGTACCTTGTCCTTGAACACAGTGATGGCGTGGCTACCAGAAACACCCTCACTCTTGAGGCTTCCTGGAGAGCTTTCCACTAAAATGAAAGAACACACAGGAGGGCCTTTGCAGAGGTTCCCACAAGCGCTGCCACCCGGTCCTTACCAACACCGCAACAATCACGCTCTGTTCTGTGTGGGAGCGACACATGACCACGAGGAGGGTGAGCCACACGTGGAAATGAAGGGGTGACCTGTGAACAATGTAGTGTCCTGCCCTGCCCGCTCCCCACCTTCCCACCACTGAGAGAAGCTTTGGCTGCCATCTCGGTCAACATATTTGTGTGGCCAGTTCCGGACAAGCTCTTCCTGCAGTCCATCACTGCAGACACCCCACAGGTTGAAGTTCACTGGCTACAGTTTAGCACTGCTCTAGATCTTAAAACCATGGATCAAACAAAACCCTCGGGCCCAGTGCCGTGGCTTAGCAGCTAAAGTCCTTGCTTTGAACGCGCCGGGATCCCATATGGGCGCCGGTTCTAATCCCGGCAGCTCCACTTCCCACCCAGCTCCCTTCTTGTGGTCTGGGAAAGCAGTGGAGGAAAGCCCAAAGACTTGGGACCCTGCAGCTGTGTAAGAGACCTGGAAGAAGCTCCTGGCTCCTGGCTCTGGATCAGTGCAGCACCGGCCATTGCGACCACTTGGGGAGTGAATCAGCAGATGGAAGATCTTCCTCTCTGTATCTCCTCCTTTCTGTATATATGACTTAGTAATGAAAATAAAATAAATCTAAAAAAAAAAAAAACCGCAGGGAAACTTCATCCAGTGCTCTACCCATCTTTGCCTCTCTAGCATCTAGCAGAGGGGCAGGTGGTAGATGCCCCATATGTTTGTGGTGAGTTTTGTTCAAGTAGGATTTGAATGGTTTTTCTTAAAGGTTTTTCTAATCATAAAACTGTAATTAATACCAGAAATCAGGAAAGGAGATGGCTATTCTTACTAAAGACTTTTTAAAAGGAAATGTTGGGTATAAACACATGAGAAGAGGGCCAGGTGACCAAAAAATTTAAAAAGCACAATCTGTACTTTTCACCATGATGCTATGTAACAGAGATCAATGGAAACTTTGACAAAATGTGTGGAACAATGGCTGTCAGACACGGAACAGCACGCAGGGCCGTGAGCCAGGAGATGAGAAGCAAACTCTGAGCACCTCAGGTCACGGCTGGTAAAAACAGTCATGCAATGATCTAGTAAGAAAGATCCAAACGGGCCCGGCGCGGTGGCGCAAGTGGTTAAAGGTCCTCGCCTTGCACGCCCGGGATCCCATATGGGCGCCGGTTCTAATCCTGGCAGCCCCGCTTCCCTTCCAGCTCCCTGCCTGTGGCCTGGGAAAGCAGTCGAGGACGGCCCAAAGCTTTGGGAACCTGCACCCGCGTGGGAGACCCCGAAGAGGCTCCTGGCTTCGGATCGGCATAGTATCGGCCCGTTGCGCTCACTTGGGGAGTGAATCATCGGACGGAAGATCTTCCTCTCTGTCTCTCCTCTGTATATCTGCCTTTCCAATGAAAAAATAATAAAAATAAATCTAAAAAAAAAAAAAAAAAAAAAAAAGAAAGATCCAAACTGAGCCTGAGGCCTTCCTGACCAGCACCTGCAGGACGGGGGTCTGGAGGGGAGGCAGGCAGAGAGCGGCAGCCGGGCACCTGCAGGACGGGGGTCTGGAGGGGAGGCAGGCAGAGAGCGGCAGCCGGGCACCTGCAGGATAGGGGTCTGGAGCGGAGGCAGGTGCAGAGAGCGGCAGCTGGGCTGGGCACCTGCAGGATAGGGGTCCCGATGCTTAGCTGAGCAGTGACCTGGCTCGTGTGTGGGAGGAACTGCTAAGGCCTTGGAAAAACCTATCAGAATATCAGGAGGGCTTACGGTGGGGCTAGTGTGTGAAGACACCCCAACATACTTGACATCAAGCCCATCCAGACCGCACCAGGGCATTGCCTACACAGTGGGCTGAACTAGGATGAGATGGGGCTAATGAAACCTAACAGAAGGTGGAAGAAGACAGTTCTGGGGAATTCAATCATCCCCCTTCCTTCAAAAGACAGATAGGAAGGAATGAAATGAAGGCAGAAATCCAGCCAACAATGTAGAAATTCATAGTCTGGCATTCCAGAAGAACTACAAGAAACACAAAGGAGCAAGGGCACAGAAGCCATAATCAGAGGCCAAATCGGCAGAGGATGAGCGCGTTCCACGTGGTGTCTACATCAGGATCCTCCATGCATTCCAGAAGGCAGGGGAAATCCTAAGGCCGATGTGGAGGAAATGAAAGGTGAATGTCTAAAACCCCACCCAAACCCCAGAGGTGGAGAGCAGAATGGGACTCCAAACAAGATGGACGCCCCGGACTACACGGTGACAGGCCGCAGGCTGAGTACAGCACCCAAAAATACACAGAAAGCTACATTTACGAAGCATCATACTCGGCTTAATCACAGTGAAAACAGTTTTGCTCTTGGACTTGTGCACATGATAAAATTGTACAAGTAGGTAAGAAGATAACATAATTTTAAAAATGAGTAAATACTTGGACAGGCAGCTAACTAAAGATGAATGGAAAATAAGAATATGCAAAGATGAGCAAAATCATGGTCACCAGGAAAACGCAAACAATACATTACTACATAACTCACTAGACTGGCAGAATTTGAAAAGACTGAAATGCCATCAGTGGGCAAGGTTGTGCAAGTGTCAGAATTTTTTACGCCTTGTTGGCAGGAATGCAAAAATGGTACGACCATTTTGGAAAACATTTTGGCAATTTTTTACAAGGTGAAAAATGAAGTTACCATTGACCTAGCATATCCACTCCTACACTGAATGCAAATAAAACGAGTTTACACAAAGAGCTGTGTGCAAATGTTCCCAGGAGCAATGCAGACATCCACCAACTGGTAAACAAAAAAACTGCAGGATATCCATAAACCGCATTCTGCCAACACAGCAGAACTCTCAGCATTAAAGAGGATCAAAGTTTTGGTATTAATTACAGGATAAATGGAACTCTAAATTGAGCCATTCATAGAATCCGCACATTCCGTGATCCTCCCGAGGGCAGTGTGACACGCAGGAGGTCGGCAAGCAGGTGCAGGGAATGACTGCAAAGGAGGAAACGCTTGACTGTGACGGTGGCCCAAGTGCACACACGTGTCAAACCCTCAAACTGCACTCACAGCTGGCAAGCGTGACTCCATATGAACGGGAAGTACCCCAAAGTAATTCCAAGAAAGAAGAGTGGCAAAGTTAAAGGGAACAGCTGAGCTTCAAAATAAGCCTACATCCTTGCAGGTGTATCTGAAAGAGACACAGCACAGCCTTGCACTGTGACCCTCAGCTGGCAAGCACGCGCAAGCAAATGTCAGCCTACCAGAGCCGTGGTGATTTTCTGGGGAGTCCAACGCTGCAGGAGGCGAGTCGAGCGCTGCTGGAGAGAGCTGGATTGGCTTTGGCTGCCCCTGGGCGCTGTCAGGTTCAAAGGGGCTCCCTTCTGCTAACTGCTGTGACTGGATCAGAGAGACATAGAACTCCTCCAGTTTGGGCAGTGTGGAGCAATCGGAGGGCTCCTTTAGACTCAGCTGCTGCTGCAGGATGGCAAAAACAGGATAAAGGCGTGAAAAGTAACTTAGTAGAACAAGAAAAATTTAGTCCTTTTACTTTCCTTACATGCCAAATGGAAATAATTTTTTCCACCATTAAACATCTCAATTTCAAGAAGCTAGACACTCTAGAAAACAATGAATGCCTCCTGACCCTATTCTATCAGCGCTGTGTACTGAGTGTGGCAGGACACGGGGGCGACATGTAGTGTGGCATGTGTCTTGCACCTCTGCACCAGCGCGCACATGACTGGTCGGTGCATGCGCCTTATGCAGGGAGGTTTTTGTACTCGGCAGGAGTGCAGGTCTGGACTCAGGCTAGCCTGTGCTCTCTGTGCCCCTCCTCTGCCCGCCCGCCTCCAGGCAGAGGACTGACTCCCAAAGAGCTGCACCCCTCCATCAGGGAAGAGCTCACACAAAGGCAGCCACAGAGGCAGGCACCAGCTGCACCCTGTGCCACGCACCGTGACAGGGAGCACAAAGGACTCTCCTCAGCAGGTACCAGTTAGATCAATGTTGGACTAAACTTCAGCTAAAATCGAGGCACAGTCCTCACCAACTGCATGAGAACTGGGTGCCGTTCTCAGCTCCTGGTTTTGGCCAGGCCCAGCCAAGGCTGTTGCAGGTTTTTGGAGAATGAACTAGAAGATGGGATAGCTGTGTCTCTCATATAAGACAGATTTAAAATCCATAGCACCTTTTAAAAAAGATTTTTATTTTTATTGGAAACACAAATTTACAAAGAGAAGGAAAAACAAAGATTTTTCCCACCACTGGCTCCCTCCCCAGATGGCTGAGCTGAGCCAAAGCCAAGAGCTTCTTCTGAGTCTCCCACATGGGTACAGGGTCAAGGACTTGAGCCATCCTCCACTGCTTTCCCAGACCACAAGCAGGGAGCTGGATGGGAAGTGGAGAGCTCAGACACAAACCAGGGCCCATTTGGGATGCCACATTTGGAGGTGCAGAATTAGCCATTGAGCTGTTGTACTGACCCTGGTAGTATCTTATTTTTAAAAGTGGTTGGCATAAATGTGGTTTATATGAAAAATATTTTTTCAAGTGGTTTTTCTTATAATCTTTTTTTAGTAGCAAAATGCAACACTTAGACTTCAGATACCTATAATTGCAACCATATGCTTGCTACTTCAGAGAATACCTGGATTCAGATTTTTACTTCACGATGCTTCACTAACTGAGTCTCACAAGTCACACACTGCGCGAGTACACAGAAGAGAGAGACTCTTCACTTTCTTACACAATACATGTTACTTGGACTGTTACCCTCATTTTAACAATGTAGAGTTCTGAGCATCAGTGAGTCCTTTTGATAAAGCCGTAAAAAGCAAATTTTACTGTTATCATAATATGTTAAAACAGGTAAGCTCACTCATCCTAGTTGGGCTTTGCAGATGGGCACAATGAAGGCCCAGGAGTCCCAGCGTCCACTTTAGTAGGTGGTAATGACCAGACCCCAGCGGCGAGCACTGTGCTACAGCACGTTAAGTCAGTGGCTGCAGTGCTAACATCCCACATGGGCACTGGTTCTGAGTCCCAGCTGCTCCACTTCCAGACCAGCTTCCTGCTAATGTGCCTGGGAGAGCACCAGAGGAAGGCGGGTGCCCATGAGGAACACTCGGAAGCTCCCGATTCTGCAGCAGCCCAGCTCCAGCTGCCGTGGCCATCTTGGATGAAAGCCAGTGGACAGAATCTCTCTCTCCCTTTCTCTCCCTGCAACTCTGCCTTTCAAATAAATAAATAAATCTTTCAAAGAGCATTTTTAAAGACCATGTCCTAATGCAGAACCCACAACACCATCTGGGGCTCCCACCCGAGTACTTGGGTCATCATTAGCTGCCTCCCACATATATTGACAAGAGAGTGGCTGGGCCTTCACCAAGCCATCCAACATGTGATGTGGTGGCTTAACGCACTGCACTGAATGCCCGCCCACCCAATACTTTAAAAAAATTGTTAAAAAGCCATATCTTATTCTCAATCACCAATTTATAAGGCCCCTGGTAACTGTTCTTTTCCTCTAAGTTTCTTGAGGCCTTCTCTCACAGCCCTGTTTCAGTCCCAACCCGGAGCCATCCCACTTCTCCCTACTGCTGCAGGGCTGCAGCAGTGGTCTGGCACCCTGGGGTGCTGCTGGCTGCACCTGCTCCTTTGTGGGCTGCTCATTCATTGCTTCCAGGCCCATGTGTGCTTGCTGGCATCAGCTGTGTGTAGGACACTTTTCTGACATTCTCAGTGGATCCCTTCCACTGCTTCCCACCAGGGCAACTCTTGACAGAGACACTGGCATGCATGCGCCACAACCTTTTGCAGTTTTCTTTAGACATGTGCAATGTCAGATTCTTTCAAATGCCATTGTGACGCCACAGGGAATGCAAGTGCCTTAGCTTCGCTCAGCCCACGGGCTGTATTTAATGTGCACCTGGCCCATGTGACACACCCGTGTGTGGTACTGCTCTGATGAACAATCTGAATAAGCAGTAGGGTTGCCAGGGGTATCCATCTCAGGGTCCCCAGACACTTTACAGGGAATCCAGCAGTAGGGGAAGGCCTAAGGGGCAGGGCATGGTTCTCTGTGGTCTCTGCCTCTTGCATTTCAGAGTGAGTATGAGAAAAAGGATAAACCTGCCTTCTCTCTGCCTTCCTTGCTTCTTTCAGGTGTGGTGACTTTCTGACTTGGAGAGAGCGCTACTGGTCTCCGCAGAGCCTCAGGTGCTCTTTGCAAGCTTTAGCAGGCTAGGAACAAACAACTCCAAGGCGCAACAATGAAAAATAATAAATGGGGTGGCATTGTGGTGTAACAGGAAAAGCATCCCACATGGGCACAGGTTTGAGTCCCAGCTGCTCCACTTCCAATCTAGCTCCCTGCTCACGCAGCTGGGAAAGCAGCAGATGGTCCCAGTGCTTGGGTCCCTGTGCCTACATGTGGGAGACCTGGAAGGAGGTCCTGGCTTCAGCCTGGCCTAGCTCTGGTTACTGCAGTCACTGGCAGCACCTTAAAGGCACAGAAGGCCTTTGATACTCCCAAGCACAACTAATTCAGCACAATGCTTGACAGCACACACTGCTAAGCCACACCAGTTAAATTTGGGCTTTGGCGCTTCTTACTAGTTATGTGACCTTGGGCCGAATCACTCCAGTTTTTGCCTCAGTTCTGGCATCTGTAAAATGGGAATCATAACAGCCCTTAGTTCCTCAGCCTGTCGTCAGGATTCAGCACTATGTGAGTGAGCAAGATGCTGTTTCCAGAAGCACACTCTAACAGAGGTATTTCTGAACTGCTGAAGAAAAGGGAAGGTACAAGTACAGCATCAGCTGGGGAGCTCTGCAGCAGCAGCCGTGACTGCTTCCCTAGTTTAAACTTCTGATGTGTAGATACTGTTCAGGAAGAAGGGCGCCTGCTCATTAACACCTCGCTGTGTGGCACAGCCAGCGACTGGGACAGGAAGCCCAGGTTAACTCTATGACCTTCTGTTGCAGAGCTGTCATTACATTTCCCCTTTCCTGTAAAAGGGAGTTTTCTAGTGCAGAGAAGTTGTGTTTCATTTCCATCTCTCGAGGCTAATGTTAACTCCTGTTTCTCAGGTCTCTACGGGACCCCTTTTCTTCCTAACATCCTTTTCCTTTTCATTCCATCATTCAGTCTGTGAATCCTCGTGTGCATCCCAGGCCAAGGCAGTTTACCCTCTTGAAACAGAGCGGGTTGTAAGTCAACACGGATCCAGGTGGTTCTGCTTGTTGCACTGTACTTGGAAAGGTAAGCATGGCATATTTTTGTGGCATAATGAGTTAAGCTGCTGCCTGCAGTGCTGATATTTCAAATGGGTGCCAGTTTGCACCCTGGCTAATCCACCTCTGATCTAACTTCCTAATGCGCCTGTTAGACAGGAGATGGCCAGGTGTTTGGGCCACTGCCACCCCTGTGGGAGACCAGGAGGAAGCTCCCAGCCCCTGGCTTCATGCTGTCCTAGTCCCAGCTGTTGCAGCTCTTTGCAGAGTGAACTAAAGAAGGAAGCTCTCTCTCCTCAGGGAACTTTCTCCTTTCAAAGATAAGCAGTCGATGAGAGTACTCTGTATGTCAGCAACTGAGACAGGGTACTGTAGCCATCTGAGGAGTGAAACAACAGATGAAACGTTGATTCTCTCTCTCTCCCCATTTTCCTGTTACTCTGCTTTTTAAATACATACATACTTTGAAACAACCTACAGTTACCTTATAATCTAGAAACTCCACTCCTGACTATTTAAATGTCTAGAAAAATAGAAACACACAGCTACATGCAAACTTACACTTGAACCTCTCAGCAGTATTATTCATAGTTGCCAGAATGTGAAAACAGCGAAATTCTAATTACATCATGGATGGATAAGTAGAATCTGGTATATCATGGAGCTGTCACTCAGCTATCAAGGAACAGGCTGAAGTACTGATTCATGCAACACACGATGAACCTGCTCAAAGACATGACCGCAAGTGGGAGAAGACAACCACCAGGGACCGTCTGCCATACGGCATTTATCATTAGGAACTCCGCACAATGGCGAGTAGAGAGAGGCAAAAAGCAGATAAAAGTTGTTTAAAGTTGTGACAAGATGGTTAAGGCATGTCGTTGTTACCTGCTGTAATGGCTTTTCTTAGGCGGGGGGAATTTGATTAAAATGTTCTAAGGTGGCTCTATAGGCTAACTGTAGTGAACTGAACACTTTATATAATGAATTACAATGATATTAGAATTACATTAAGGAAAACCATTTAAAGGCTACAATAAAAGAATACGTAATACTGCAGCTAAATCCATGCCCTGGGTGACCTTTTCTGGGGCTGACCATTTCTGGGGCTGACCTCTGCACACCCATCCTGCAGGACACAGGTCACTCAGAAGGCTGTCTGCCACATCTGCTTTTCAACTCATTAAACCTCAGCCTTTTATTTTCTTCTTCTTTAACTATTTATTTATTTTTATTGGAAAATTATATATAGATGAGGAAAGACAGAGAAAGCTCTTCCATCAGCTGATTCACTCCCCAACTGGCTGCAACGGCGGAGCTGAGCCAAGCCGAAGCCAAAAGCCTATAGTCACATCTCCTGAGTCCTACAAATTGTCCTACACTTAGCACACTCATCACCTATTTGCTAACCATGGAACAAAGAGCTTGTGTGCCAGTTATTGCCTTCTGTTAAAGAAACAGAAGAAATCAGTGTATATCATAATATAGATTGAAGGCTTAAAATTTATGACCAAGTTATAGGAAAACATATTCTTGCTCTATCTCTCTAAGAGGTTCAACATCAATCAGTTATCCTGCATCTTCTGGACACAAACTTTCAAGATTTAGTATCTTTTTTCAAAGTAATTATTTAATTTAAATGAATTTTAGGGCCCGGCACAGTAGTGCCCTGCAACAGGCCAGGATCCCATATGGGCGCCGGTTCTAATCCACGCAGCCCCGTTTCTCATCCAGCTCCCTGCTTGTGGCCTGGGAAAGCAGTCGAGGACAGCCCAAAGCCTTGGGACCCTGCACCTGCGTGGGAGACCCGGAAGAGGCTCCTGGCTTCAGGAGGGCTCAGCTCTGGCCTTGAGGCCACTTGGGGAGTGAATCAACTAACTTTCCAATAAACATTAAAATAAATCTTTTTAAAAAAGAAATTAGTTTTAAAATGAACATGTATGTGTTTTACCAACTTGCCATTGCCCATCAGCGTCTCAGGAACGCATGGCAGCACTCAGCCTCTGAATGCCAGCTGTGCCAGCTGTGCCAGTGTTGTGGTCCTGGACACCCAGTCCTTCTACTTTCACTCCGTTTTCAGGGCCTGAGGGCTGCCACATGACGTTTATCATCCCACGCATCTTTGGGTACAGAAAAGCACCTATCCTAGAGCAAACAGCAATAATCAGCTGAGAAGCAGCGGTTCCCGAACCATAGCTCCTAACTAACTACTGTGAACACATGCCTCTCATAAAAAGAAATACAGCTCTGTATATATTTTCTTTCACAGCATTTTCATGGCTAAATGATTTTTCAAGATCACCGAGAATCTAAGTGGGATAAATACAACTTTAAGTATTTCTTCTTTTATACAACCAGTGGAAAATAAAATTTAAATGTATCGTCAGGGCCAATACTAACAAACATTCTGGTTGCACAAATCTGGAGGCTATATTAAAAAGTTCAAGCAACAAAATAAAAACAGAGACTTCTGTTGATTTAGCTATTCACAGATCCGAAGGCCTTGGCAAGTGCAAAAACAGAGAGTGCCGATATGTGCAAGAGGCCCACAGGCTGGTCTCGCCTCTACCTTCTCTTCCCTTGCCTACAGATACTATTTTAAAAACCCATGTATTCTTTTTAACTAGGGCCTGATAAATCCTGTGGAACTTCCCCATGTGCAGCTTTCTTAAGGCCCAGGCAATTACAGGACAGTGATCTGACTTCCGTGAGCGCGGCTCTAACCTCCTGGGGTATTTCTTCACAGGGTGGACACTCGTCTCCACCAGGGCTAGCGGTGGGCATCCCGAAGCCAGCGTCATCTCCTTTCCCCATTTTGGCCTGCAGTGGTAACCAGTTCTCATCCCAGACATCATCACCTATGGTCACTGACTCCAGGTACGGCATTCCACTGGGGATCTCGTCCTGAAACGCATCAGAAAACAAAGGAAGGTGTCAGTCACAGTTCCTAAATGAATGGCATTTATAAGTCAAGTTTCATAGCTTTCCAGACTTCAGGTGAGGTCAGCTGCTTGAATACACAAGTTACTGCTCTTTTCCTTCTGGAATTTATACCGTAAATGTTCAGGAATTCATATGCCAAGGTTTTTGCAAGTTAGGGGGTTAAATGGGAACAGAGAGAGACTGGTTAAAAGTTCCCAGAAGAAGCAGTGAGATTCCATAGCCTCTCCTGCTTGTCAGAGGGCCAGGGAGACCACGAGGACATTCTGAAGGATGAAACTGAGGGTGGAGTAAGCGTGATAACAGAGGGGCAGGGTGAGGCCAGTGTTGTAGTGGGCGGGGGGGGGGGGGGAAGAAGCAGCTATCCATGTTGCCAGCATCCCATGTGAGTGCTTGTTCGAGTCCTAGCCTCTCCTCTTCCAATCCAGCTCCCTGGTAAAGACGGCTTTAGTGCTTGGACCCCTGCCATCCATGTGGGAGACCTGCAGTACCAGATTCTTGGCTTCAGATCATTGCAACCATTTGGAGACTGAATCAGTGGCTAGAAAAACAGCCAATTAATCGATGTAACTCTGCCTTTCAAATAACTTAAAAAGGAGAGGGGCATTTGGTACCACAGTTGAAATGCTGCTTGGCGTACACATTTCATGTAGGAGTACCTAGGATCAAGTCCCAATTCAACTTGCACTCCAGATTTCTGCTTCTGCTTAGCAGGAAGGAACAGGCCCTGAGCTTGGGATACCCAGACTCAGTTCTGGGCTTGTGACCCCGGGCTGACCTAGCCCTGGCTTTTGAAGACACTTGGAAAATGACCAGCAGACAGATCTCTGTCCATCTCTCATGATTCAAACAACCAAATATTAAATACAAATATTTAACAAAACACTTTCTGAGGAAAATGGAAATTAATAAAGAATTTTACACTGAATATGAAAATATCTATTTTTTAAAAATGCTTATTTTCATCCACTTGAAAGGAAGAGAGGGATAGAGAATAGAGAAATCTCCCATTCTCTGGTTCACTGTCTACATGCTTCTAACCAGTAGGACTGAACCAGGCTGAAGCCAGGAGTTAAGCGTTCCATCTGGGTCTTCCCCGGGGGTGGCAGAGGCCCATGCCCTAGGGTCATCATAGGATGCTCCTGTGTCAGCAGTTGGGATTTGAGCTAGCACTCTCATTTGGGATGTGGCAGTTTAATCCATTGTATCACAGTACTTGCCCCTCTAGCCCAGTTTTTAATAAGTCGGAGGACAGAGAATCCCCCATCTGCTGGTTCACTCCCAGACAGCTGCGATAGCGGGACTGGGCCAGACTGAAAACCAGGAACCAGGACCTTAACCCAGGCCTTCAGTGTTTGTGGCAGGAGCTCAAGTCCAGCATCCTCTGCTTTCCAAAATGGATCAATCGGAAGCTGGACTAGTCATTTTATGCAACAAAATGAACATTGACCTAAGCCTTACACCTTGTATCCAAGTGAATTAGTGATGTCATGACACTGAAAACACCATCTATAATAGGAAATGTTAACAGTGGATTTTCTCAAAACTAAAAATTTTTGCTACATGAAACAGAATGAAAAGCTGTGTTAGACAATATTTTAAAATCCTGACAAAGGACTAGTGTCCAGACACAAAGAACTCGCAAAGCTCAACAATAAGGAAACAAAAAAAAACCTAATCAAAACATTTGCAAAATGACTTGGACAGACATTTCATCAAAACATATGGGCAGACAGCGAGTAAGCACAGATGTTCAACAACATTAATCATTAGGGAAATGCAAGTGAAAGCCATACTGTAGAGCTGCCACCTATGAGAACAGCCAATGTGAATATCAAAGCAGTTCCAAGAGCTACAAGGCCGTGCAGCAACTGGAATCACAGGACCAAAACAGTTGCCCAGGGAAAGTTAGTCACACTTATTACATGACCTAGCCACCTTGCTCCTGGCATCTGCCTTAGTTAAATGAAGCTAGCATTCAAACAGAAACCTGTACACTAGCTCCATTTATAATTGCCCCAAATCTAAAAGAGCTGAACTCTTCCCCAGTGGGTGAACATATACACCAACTGTGGTGTATGCTCAACACCCAGCCACCAAATGCTATGCACTATTGAGTCACATGCAACAACTTGCACGAATCTCAAAGGTGCATGCTGAATGACATGGTCAGTATGGAAAGGCTGCACGCACAATCCAACTTATATGACAATCCTGAAAAGGAGAAGCCAGAGTCAGAGAGAACCTAGGGATTGAAAATGTAGGAGAGGATAATTACAAAGGGGTAGCAGGAAGGAATCACGTGACGTGAGCGTAATTTCTGCCTCTGTGGCGCTGGTTACACAACCACACATGTATTAAAATCCACAATACACAAAAGAATGTCCATTCTTACTGCAAGGGTTTTTTTTTTTATAATACACATTTTTTCATGAACTTTTTAGAAATCACTAGTATGCATGGATTTAAATTTCTTTTTTGCACTAGGACTCATCTTTTAATTCGTTTTCCAATGATGTTTTTGTAGCTGCTATGTTAATTTAAAAACAAATAATGATTGCCAAAAAATACAATTATGAGGGAGAGGAAAAGGTGTCATGCTGCATGTTATCATTTGTAAATAGTGAATGCCTATGAACAGGGAGCTGTGATGCACAGTATCAGCAAGATGAAGGCCACGCCTGTGTGTAGTGATGAAGGTATGCAAGCGACTGAGCCCCTTCCTTCCGAGTGGGAAGTATATGAATACTTGGGACTGCACAGGTAAACACTAGAAACAGCAGCTGAAACGCTAAAGCGCTTGTTGTGGAGAACAGGATGTGTATGGAAGGGGTGATGGGGGAATCTACACTGTGTGCAAATAAAAACCAGTGTCATCTCCAAAATGCTGTAAGCACTTTCCTGGAGGTTTCTTCTCACGGTGTAACTCTTCAGGAGCTAAACCAGACGCTACCCTCCCACTTTGGTGACCAAGAATAGGCAGTACAGCTGTGGACGGCTGAGGGCAGAAGCTCAAATTTCTCCGCAGCAGATGCTGTAATCACGAGGGACAAAGGAGGAGCTAGCACGCCCCAGCCCTCTTCATGCAAGAACTGATGACATCAATCAAGATCTCAAGGCAGCAGCCTTCCTTCTCCTACCTCATTTTCTTCCTTCAGATCCTTTTGCTCCAGCAGGGACCTTTTGGGATCATCTTCACAGATCTTTTCAAGGGTTTTCAAAGAACTAAATTCTGGATCCTCTAATGGTTCTTTTAATTCAGATTTAAGGTGATGTACAGACCTTTCTTCATTAATCACTTGCTAGCAGATATGAAAAAGAAATAAATTTATTTTCTGCATTGAGGTTGTTTCTAAAATCAACATCTGTAAATATCAGTTGGGAGAAGGAACGCTTTCTGCTACGACCGATGTCAACATGACATTATTTTCTAATTTTATCCGATTCTGGGTCTTCTCATCCTGCTCTACGCTCTACTTCAGGCAACGGATGCTCAGACAGCTGCACCAGAGTTCTGTGGATTACAGGGTGAACGCACGGGCCCCAGGTCCGAGGCACTGAACAGGGGGCAGACACACACTTCGCTCACACAGTGCACGTTTCCAGGAAAGACACTACAAGCATAAACTAAGCAACGCAGTAGAGGAGCCAACACAACTTAAAAAGCATGGACTGGGCTACAGAGGTGTGTGTGTCTGTGTGGCTAATGAGAGTCTTGCTATTTCCAGACACCAACTAGAGTGGCCAAGGGGGCACTTTAATCCTTTTCTCTTATACAGGTCTTATTTCCAAGATCGACAAATGGTTTATCGAAGGCATCAACACAGAATTGATATTCTGTTAAAGGTTCATATTCAGGCTTGGGGTGATGGCTCAATTGGCCTCCGCTTCCAAGCACGAGCATTGTGTAGGAGTGCCAGTTCATATCGTGGCGGCCCTGCTTCCCATCCAGCTCCCTGCTTGTGGCCTGGGAAAGCAGTCGAGGATGCCCCAAAGCCTCAGGACCCTACACCTGCGTGAGAGACCTGGAAGAAGCTCCTGACCCCTGGCTTCAGACTGGCTCAGTCCCAGCTGTTGTGGCCATTCGGGGAGTGAACCAACAGATGGAAGATTTTCCTCTCTCTCTTTCTCTCTGTAAATCTGCCTTTCCAGTTGAAACAAATCTTTAAAAAAAAAAAAGCTAAACATGTATTTTAAAAAGGTTCATATTAATAGCACTACTTAAAGAATAGAAAACAATTTTTAAAAAAAGATTTATCTTTTTTTTTTTTTAATTGGAAAGGCAGATTTTACAGAGAAGAAAAAAAGATATTTCATCCGCTGCTTCATCCCCAAGTGTCTGCAATGGCCAGAGCTGAGGCTACCCAAAGCTGGGAGCCAGGAGCTTCTTCCAGGTCTCCCACATGGGTGCAGGCTCCCAAGGCTTTAGACCGTCCTCAACTGCTTTCCAGCCCACAAGCAGAGAGCTGGATGGGAAGTGGAGCAGCTGGGAAATAAACTGGTGCCAATATGAGATCCCGGTGCTTGCAAAGTGGGGGTTTTAGCCATCCTTTCAGGCCCGGTAAACAAAATTCTTAAAACTCAGTAAAAAAGCACGCTTAATAAAGCAGTGTCGGTGAAACAAGCCAGTTACTTATAATATTAACTAGAAATCTAAAATCTTTTTATTCTTTAAAACATGCAGCAGAAAACATTAATACTTTTCACAACAGAGCAAGCTTTTAGCAAAATGTCTTTCCACACTTTCTAATAACTAGAAAATATCCAGTTAACACAGAACCTTTATAATTTTATTTTAAAAGATATAGAGGCCAGCACTATGGTGCAATGGGTAAAGTTGCCACCTGCAAAGCCCGCATGCCATAGGGGCACTAGTCCATGTCCCAGCTGCTTAATTCCCAATGCAGCTCCCTGCTGATGCCTGGCAAAAGCAGCAGAATATGGCCCAGTGCTTGGGCCCCGCACCCCACAGCGATCCAGAAGCAGCTCCTGGCTCTGCCTGGTCCAGCTATGGCCATCACAGCCATTTGGGCAGTGAATCAGCAGGTGGCCAGCCTCTGTCTCTCGTCCTCTCCTTGTAAATCAAATCAAACTTTTTAAAGGTCACATATATGAAACACGAAACAAAATATTTTGTCATTTTTTGAAAGAAAATAAAAACCTTGCAGTAACAAAATGAAGAAAAACCAGATTGTCAGTCCTCAAATTAAACATTTTTGCATTCTCAGTACCTATTGATGGGAATATCAGTCTCAAAACAGACTTACTTGTTGAAGAAACACTAAGTTTGCTCCATGTATTTTCTTTTTATCTATAATAGGCCTATGTTTGTTGTAAAAATTAAAATAGCTAATAGAGATGAGTACTTACAACAGGGGCTGAGATTTTTTTAAAATTATTAATTGCATTGTATTATATGGCACAGTTTTATAGGCACTGGGATTCCCCCCACCCCTCCCCTAGCCCTCCCCCCATGGTGGATTCCTCCACCTTGTTGCATAACCCTACTTCAAGTTCAGTTGAGATTCTTTCATTGCAAGCATATACCAAGCAGAGTCTAGCAGATAAGTTCAACGGCTTGTTGGGGAGACCTCTCTGGTCTGAAGGTAGAGCCAGCAGAGTATCATTCCGATCAATTAAAAGCCCCAACATAACATCAGCAACAATTTATAACGTTATGGAATTAATTGACATAGTACTAAGTAACCAACATATTAAAAAAAATGCAAGTTCTTAACCACATCCTGTGACTACTTCATTGACATTTCAATTTTAGTTTATATACAACCGGGTTCTATACATCTTAAAATTGCTATAGATTGCTGTTCAGCTGTCTTGTGTCTATTTTCATTATAATATTTAGCATTTTATAGCACTGAAGCATAATTTTGCTGAACCTGGCTTTTTTTAGGGTAGTCTAGACTGGCTTATAACTCTAAGACATATGTCAACAGTTTAGGTGCAGAACAGTTTTAGGAGGGGTGTGCAGAGAAATCCTCAACACCCTAGTGAGGAGTAACTAATATTTCACGTCTTCCTCACACGTTCTAGGGTGATGGAAGATTTCTCCACTCTCCCGCAACAGGGGCTGAGATTTTATACAAGTTCACTAAGTGACAGAAAATTACACACAAACAGACATCTAATCTTATTATTTCTGTGGTAGTAGGGCAGGTTGCCTAAATCCTTAGAGAGAATGCGAGGACCCTAAGCAGCGGCTGTGCGGCACAGAGGGAGAACAGCACTTGGTAAGTCCCCAGTTCCCAGGGCAGCAGAGGCAGTGAGCCCCTAAGAGACAGCAACCAGGGAGAGGCATGCCTGAGGCCAGAGGCAAGGGTCAGAGCCAGCAAATGGCAGGGCACACCACAACTGCTGGCATCACCGCAAAAGCCCTCTACTTTACTCAGTTTGGGGGACTCAATTTCCTAACCTAGAAAATAAGAATAATTACAGTGATATAGATGATTATAATATTTACAAAAGCCTTTTACCAGGGTGTGTAATTCACTCTCTTTGGATTGAGGACTTATCTCTCGATCTTCATTAAAATAATGCCGCTGGGAAGGGTAACCCAGTTCTGTCAAGATATCCTTGGCCTTACTACTGGACTTGGTGTATAACGCCAACGGGTTGAGGTCTCTGAAACCCTAGGATCAAAAAAAGGAAAGGTGAATTACATGATCAAGAGGAAAAAAGGTGAAACAGCAGTCATAATTTTTAAATGCTATAACAGAACATTATCATCTAAAACTTAACAGTTAAAGCTTTCTCTGTGCTGTCACTTTCACCTCTTTCAAAATTTAACATCAATACAGATATATAGATAGATAAATATAGATGTGAGTGTTGTTCTTAAACAAGAAACCTCTGATAACCATGTACAATCCCTTAAAAACTAAAGGTTCCTTTAGAGGACATCAGCTAAGGCCACCTGGAGATGAAGCAGCACTGGCCCCAAGGAGCCAGGAATCCCACCAATGTGTCTGACAAAAGTAACTATCTTCATTTTCCTGCACCTTGACATGCTGAGATTGCAAGACCCAAGCACACTGTTCTACCTTAGAAGGAACATTTTCTCGGCACACGACAGCATGGCCTTCTGTTCTCAGGACATGATGGAAATAGACATCTTCATTTGAGGATGTATCACACAGAAAAATGTTCAAGACTCCGTCTATGTATTCATCCACCACCCCTACCAACGGCTTCAGACCACACAATTTATGGAACTGCAAAATGGCTTTGGATGTCCAGTGTTCCTGAAAATAATCAAGTCATTCAATTCAAATGGTGGGTTAACACATGGATTATAGTAATCACACACAAAAATGAATTCATGAAGAATCACAAGTTCAACTGAAAAAAATTAAGAGAAAAAGTACTAGAAAAACACATGAGAAGATATTTATAATTAGGGAGTGAAGAAAGAATAAAAAATATAATTATGGAAAAAAATGCATCTGATTAGAAATTTGGATTTTCAGAAATGGTGAGTTAGACCATTAGAACCACCATAAAGAAAAACCAAGATTCCCAGAAAAAAATTTTAAAAATATGTTCAAAAAGCATTAAAGCTAAGCTAATACCAAATTATCATACCAAAATAAAAAGGAAAAGTATCAAAAAAAAAAAAAAAACCCCAAAACCCTACCTTGCCTTACTTTATGTTATCAGGGGGCCTGGTAATGTAGGCAAATTTGAACTTGATTTTGACAGTCTAATAGTCAAAGGGGTCCACCCACCCTCAGGGGGCCTCAAGGAGAACTTTCCTTCGTTGAATTGTGTCACTGTGGAGCACACACTCAGGGTAGGGGCAGAGTAACCAGCCTTCACAACAACTGGCAGCTCAGTTTTCCTAACACCAGACAGGTCCACAAGTCAAAGGTTGTTGATTTACACCAACATGGTTCTAGGCTGGTGGGAACTCCAGACACTTGGCAGAGCAATCTCTGGAATATACACCCAAGCCTGTATTCAAGCATTCTCACAGTGAATTTTCAATGATCACAACAATACATGTGCAAAGATAAAAACACAGAAAGGGATACTGACTCACAGGCAAGAAAAGGCAGAAACAACATTCGCTGAAACAAACCCTGGGATTTTAGTAAAATATTTCCAATTTCAAAGCCATTACAGCAAAAACTCTTCTAGCTCTGCAATATGCAGAACCAAGACATTTAAAAGGTGAAAATAACCATAACTAAAAAAAATCATAGCTGAATAGATTACATAGAATTAAAGCGTGAATCAGTAATGTGGAAGAGAATGTGGAAAAATTGGAATTCATCATGGACAAGCAGGGAGCTATAAGACATAAAAGGTAAAAAAAAAAATAGGGGAAAAATTGAGTTTAACATATGTCTAATTAGAGTTTCAAAAAATAAGGAAAAAATGAGAATAACTTCAAAACTGGAAAATGCAATAATTAAGGAGACACAACTAGGAATTTTCTAGTTAATGAAAATTACCAACATTGCCAAAAGGAGTCTGGTGTGAGACATAAAGCAGGAGAATGAGAATAAATTCATACTTCAGCACATGACATTAAAACTGAAGAACAAGAGTGGCAAGCAGAGGCCAACGTGACACTGCCTTCAAAGGAACCTCCAGGAGGCCGGGTGCTGACTTCTCAGAAAAAAATTAGTAGAAAATTCAGGAACCAGATATGCTACCTTCAATGTGTTAGGCGTACTAACTGCCAATCTAGACCTCTATACCTAAGCAAACACTTTCTCAAGAACAAGTGCAAAATAAATGCCCAGATAAAACACTAAGTTTTCCACCAGTCAACTCTCATTAAAGAATGACATTCAAACCAGAGGAAACGAATCAAACGGCATGACTGTTAGAATGGGCACACCATGCTATGTAACTCGTGCAAAGGTCAGAATGGGAGCATTCACCCGATGCCTCCCACGAGTCAGCAAGAAGCTGAACTGGAAGCACAGCTGGGACTTGAACCCAAGCACTCCAGTGAGATGCAGGGGCCTAACCAGGATCCTGACCACCACGCAAACATCCACCAGGAAAATGTTTTCCAATTTACATTTTGTTTTCAAACTTGATTCGTGGGACTACTCAGAAGCTTCTTAGTTTGTATGTTTTTCCCCATCTCTTTGTTACTAGTTTCTAACTGAAATACAGCGGCCAGAGACCACCCTGGACATGTCTGGATGTACCAGCCCTTTGAAAGAAGAGGTGGTTTCTGTTGTTCAATATGTGGGTCACTTTGTGAATGGCCATGTGTCCTTGAAAAGTACATATTCTGTAGTTGTGGTGCCACTGTTCTATGTATACCCATAAAGTCAGCTCTACTGTATGAGACTTAGCCATTCTGGTTTTTCTATATTGTTTTTTATTTTTATACTTAAAGAAGTGTTTTTTAATTTCTCTTTTTTAGAAAAAAAGACTTATTTTACAGAGAGGAGGAGAAACAGAAAGATCCTCCATCTGCTGGTTCATTCCCCAAATGATTGCAAATGCTCAGAGCTGAGCCGATCTGAAGCCAGGAGCCAGGAGCCTCCTCCAGGTCTCACACATCATTGTAGGGTCCCAAGGACTTGGGCTGTCATCCTCTGCTGCTTTCCTAGGCCATAAACAGAGAGCTGAACAGCAAGTGGAGCAGCTGGGACATGAACCATCTGGGGTGCGGGCACTTAAAGGCAGATCAGCTTGTTGAGCCATTGCAAGAAGTGCTGGCCCTGAGAAATGCGGTTTAACTATGACTGCTTTGCCTTCTTATTCCTACTTCTCAGTTTTTCTTCAGTAGACACTGGATTATTAAGTGCACAAGTGATATAAACATCTCTATTTTCCTGGATAAGAATATTTTATCATTACGAGGCTCTTTATTTCTGTTGCCTTTTGTCTAATGTTAATATACTCATATAACTTTTCCATTTAACATTTTCTTCCTGATTATCCTAGACATGGCCTCCAAGTCTTCCTTTTGGTCTCTTCCATACACTGTGCAAACCCTAATACAGCAAATAGGACCTAGTGACACGACTCGGCATTGTCTGTCTTCTGTACAACACAGAATGATTTACTGCAGGCTGGTTCCGTGTTTTATTCTTTTGTATTCTGGGAACCTGGAACCATGTTTTACAGACAGTAAATAGGATAGCTAGGAACCAAGCACACATACCTCTACTGGTCTCACCCAAGCCAAAGAACAAGGGATAGCCTGAGCTGGGAGCTTTGTGTAGCAGCACCTGTAACAGACAATCTAACATTTAATCTTATTTCTAAAGATTTGTTTATTTTTATTGGAAAGGCACAGCTACAGAGAGGAGAGAAAGCTCTTCTATCTTTTGGTTCACTCCCCAAGTAGCTGCAATGGCTGGAGCTGAGCTGATCTGAAGCCAGGAACCAGGAACTTCTTCCAGGTCTCCCACTTGGGTGCAGGGTCCCAAGGCTTTGGACCACCCTCAACTGCTTTCCCAGGCCACAAACAGGCCACAAACAGGGAGCTGGATGGGAAGTGGAGTAGCTGGGATGTGGGCTAGCACACACATGGGATCTCGGTGCATGTGAGGTAAGGATTTAACCACTAGGCTATTGCACCTGGTCCATTTAATCCTATTTTTAAATGTATTTTATGGAATTGTTAATTTATTTCTTGATTTTAGTTATTCATTTAATCTCAGAATGGTTTACTCGTGGAATTTAGTAAAATTCATGTCTTACACTTAAATAAAATTATAAAACTGTGTTTTTAAGAGAACCTTGTCATTAAGGTACAGCTACAAAGACTGAAACCTTCCTGCTACATAAAAATTCACCTGTTATAAGAAAAATGATCCTTTTCTTATTAGAGACTGAAACTTAGCCTCACGGTCTATTCAGATTTACAGTTAGGTGAAACCACGGCAGATTGTCATCGCTCTGTGAAACTGGAAGGCTAGACGTCCACTGCGCACTAAGAGGGGAAGGGTGCAGGGAGAAAGGCCAGAACATGAGACCCCAGCCCCACTTGGCCACCATGAATTTTTGTTCATTGTTGTCACTAAATTCAACTCACTTGAGAAACCTTAGAGATGACTTCTGAACAATTCCAATATTTCCAAAGTCTGGGTAGAACACTTCAACTTCCTGTGTTCCAAGGACCCGGTGGATAATGACCCGATACCACCACTTATCCTCAGAAATTCTTACACAGCAGAGATGTCCCGGTTGAATGAAATATTCTGGCATGATGTACCGGTCAGATACCAGCTGATTCGAGTAGCAGCGCCTGTTGGAGTCCATAAAAAAGAGAAAATCACAGGGGAATAAAAAATCAGAGCTGGTTCCAACTGATTTATCAAGAGCAGGACAGTCTCGGCCAAAAGTAAAGCCAAAGTTCTTTGGTTTCCTAATGCTTCTTAATGTTAACTAATTTTGCTTCCTTTCTTCTTACCCAAACTCCTTCTTCAAAGAGGAAGTTTGGTAATTACACATTCACTTTCTCATCTCATTCTCTGCTGAACAGGGTTACTAAAACTTGCTCACCCAGTGCTTACTAAAGTACACATTTTGAAGGCGTCCAGGATCCCATAGTCTCTGCCCTCAACTCTGCTGCAATCACCTCTCAGCAGACTGCTCTGTCCTCTTTCAAAGTCTTCCCTACAAAACTCTTGAGAAGACAATTGGGCTCAGAATGATTGACTTTAGGGTCACAGGGCTCATGGGGTGCTATCAACACAGCCTCAGTCTCACAGGAATGCTGGAATGGGACACACACTTTCTCACCAAGTGATTATTAGAGACTTACGCAGGTGCTATGTACGAGAAAAGAGAGAAAAACACATGTTGTGGGAATAAAAAAACTGCTTCTATAAATACAAAATAAGTAAAATGAATTGTTCTTATATATGACACCAGCACTAAAAATATCTGATTTACAGAGAGAAGGAAACACACAGAAAAAAATCTTCCATCTGCTGGTTTATTCCTCAAATGGCTGCAATTGACAGAGCTGAATGAATTTGTAGTCAGGAGCCAGGAGTCTCCTCCTGGTCCCCCAGGTGGGTGCAGGGTCCCCAGGTTTTGGGCCATTCTCCTCTATTCTCCCAGGATACAAGCAGGGAGCTGTATAGGAAGTGAAGCAGGGGACACAAACTGGTGCTCGTATGGCTACCTGGTGTTTAAAGATAGAGAATTAGCCAATTGAGCCATTGCGCCAGGCCCTCACGGATAAATCAAACGCTACTGAAACACACACACTGTGTGTGTGTGTGTGTTTGTATTCAGGACCATTTATGGTTTACATGGTGTTTACTAACAAACGACATACTTTCAGTAAAGAAAAAATACATAATTTACAGCAGTTCTCAAAGTACAGTCTACAACATCATGGGACCCTGACACTCAGGAAGTTCATGAGATCAAAACCATACTTTATAAAACAGTACTGACGCATCACCCACCCCTCCCCTTGTGCTGGCATTCACGCCGTGGGAGGCTCAGGGCAGCGCACAAGCCTGTGATGACTTGTCACTGCCATGCACGCACATTTAAAAGAATGATATTTAACATGAGAGTTTATGGGAAGTTCAATTCTACATCATAACTTCTCTTTAAGACTTAAAACTTTCATTTGTCACGTTTTTACACATGAACATTCACAGCTTTTTGAAAAGGGATTTGAAATCCTCTTTTTCCAACTACATACTGTGCAAAGCCAGATGCTGCCACACATGTTAACAAAACCCACAATCATTAGTCCCCCTTTTCTGCGGGTTTTATTTGCCATACGATTTCCATCATTGTACAAAAACATCCCAGGAGTAAGTAACTTCTACATTTCGGGTCAGACACTGCGTTGAGTGTGATCACATCTCCAGCCGTCCTGCTCTGTCTGGCCAAGGACGTGCCCCACCCTTGTCCAGGCTGTATGTGCTACCCACAGTCACAGCTCAGGTTATCACACTACCTTCTAGTACAACACATCACTGTAATTGTTTTATTATCAACCAGTGCTCATCTAGTACTATATCTAACTCATAAATTAAAATTCTAATGGGTACATTTGTATAGGAAAGATAGCACCAAATACTTGCATGTCAAATGCATCCATATGGTTCGGGCCAATCCAGTTGCAGACATCTGCTAAGGACCTCATATCCACTGGGGACGTCTAATGGGGACCTCAGGGTAGGAAAGGACTTAAATATCTCAACAGATTAAATGTTGAAATTAAAATCCAATTTTCCTCTATTAAGTTAAACAGAAAGCTGAAAAATGTAAAACAATGCTATTCTTCCAATTCTTTCCCCAAAAATTTGATTTGTGCTAACACAGATTTTAAATAGCAGATTTCTATATGATAAACTGGGATGGAAGTGGCTCCTGAGCCTTTAACTGGAGGGTGACACACTGAGAACAAAGGGCCCTACCTCATTTCAATCATCATGTCTTCGAGCAGCTCTGATGAATCCCTGCTGTAAATTCGGATGTAGAACTGACTAGGAGAGATAATATATTCCACAAAGACCCCCACGAGGGTGCTGGTGTCCAATGGTGGGAGTCTGTATAATTTCTTTTCCCGTACAGCATCTGGTGGAATATCATGATTTGCCATTGCCACGTCAGGCTGTGGTTTGTTTATTTCAACTTGCTACAATTAAAAAAAGGCAGGGGGAGGAGAAAGCATATACACACAAAAAGGCAGTATTAAATCTTTGGGTGACAACTCAGACTACATGACAACATAGATATCAGAGCATATAAGGTGATTTTTAAAGCTTCATGAAAAATGAAATTAGAACATAAATTTTGATGCAAAAAATCTTTGAAATTCATCTTTTCTGTTAACCTAACATGAATTTTCAAGAGCTTTCTGAAGGCTTCATACACATGGATTTCATGAATAACTTTCACCAGTCACTTTAATTAGAATTAAGTGAGAAACTATAAAAATGAAGATTCCTTGGCTCTAACAGTACTAGACAAGTGGGCTCACAATTACAAACCTTCCCAGAGTTGGCATTTAGCAGAGGTTAAGTCACTGTTTGGGATGCCTGCAGCTTGTGTTACGGTATTGGTTCAAGTCTTACCTATCCGCTTCCAGTCCAGCTCACTGGCAATACACACCCTGGCAGGTGGCAACCAGCTGCTCATAGGGGAAACTGAATTCTAGGCACCTGGCTTTGACTTGGCCCAGCTTTCTGTGTTGGATGAATCTGGGGAGGAAACCAGTGGATGGAAGATCCAACTCATTTCCCAAATAAGATAAAAGTAAAATTTTTAAAAATTGCTCATAATTAGAACATACACTGAAATATGGAAACTAATTATAACTGGAACATATACTAAAATATGGAAATAATTAAGAAATATTATGTAACTGTCCTATGGAAAACTGGCAATAAAAAACCTCAACTATTCATGCTGAACTAAGGTGAATTATCACCCCATTCAAGCTTTACCAACAGTCAAACGTAACTTTAAGGAATGGACTGGATTTCAAACTAGTGCTCCAGTCAAGCGAGGATTCTCCAATACTCTTATGCTAAAATATATAATTTTTCTCTAGGCCTTTCCATTGTGCTCCGGAAAATGCAGCCAGCTGTTCTGTGAAAGCAACCAGGGACAGAAACCAGCAGGGAAGAGTAAGGAACCTCCTTGAAACACATCAGGTCATGGGGGATGAGAACACAGGAACGCAGAGTGGCATGCGAAGGCAGCGCCAGGACAGAATGCCTCAGCTCTCACCCTACACTAACAAAACAGGACAGAAAACCAGTGATGTCATTACCAGAGAACTACCAAACCTCAAAGCCACCTGAAAACTTTAACATGGGACTTAGGAAGACCTAAATGTAGAAAAAGAAATAAAATCCAGGAGAAATCAAGAAACACTGCCTAAAGTGTTCCTGGGCCAAAAATGTGGTCTCTTTTTTAGGATGCATCTAGAATCAGGACTTCACTAAAAACCATTTTGGCTCAAAGAATCGCTGATTCAGTTACTTTTCTTTTTTTTATAACTTTTTTTTAAAAATTAATTGCGTTGCATTATGTGACACAGTGTTATGGGCACTGGGATTCCCCCCACCCCTCCCCTAGCCCTTTCCTCACGGTGGATTTCTCCACCTTGCTGCATTACCACAGTTCAAATTCAGTTGAGATTCTTTCATTGGAAGTATTTACCAAGCATAAAGTCCAGCATCTTATTATCCTAGTGGGTTCAACGATTTCATGGGGAGACCATCTCTGGTCTGAAGGTAAAGCCGGCAAAGTATTATCCCAATCAATTAAAAGCCCCGACATAACATCAACAACCATTTACAACCTTATGGCATTAATTGACATGGTATTAACAATATGTTAATAGGAAAGTGCGGGTTCTTAACTACATCCTGTGACTTCTTCATAGGATTCAGTTACTTTTCATAACGCTGAATTTCCAGTTACCAAGCCTTTTTATTTATTTTTTAAACTAATAGAAATCTATTTTCCCAGTTTTGAAGGGCAGAGGTACAAGAACAAGACGTGGTCAAGTTTTCGTTAGAGTTCTCTCCAGCCTGCTGTTTCCACACAGGATCTTTTTTCTCTCTAGCATGCACGCCTGGTGTTTTTACCTGTCTAAACTTCCTTATCTTATTGGGGACACCAGTCAGACTGGATTAGGGCCCCAATAGCTTTATGTTATCTGAACCACTTCTATACAGGTCCTGTCTCCAAAATATAACCACGTTCTGTGACACTAAAGGTTAGGACTTCAACCTAAGAATTTTAGAACACAGTCCAGTCGCTGGTAACAGGACTGCCATTGTGGACCACTCACTGTTCTGTACTGCCCAACACCTGAGAACCACAGCTTAATGCATTTGGCATAGTTTTTCTTTATTATATAGAGAGAACAGATATGCTACTGCATTGTACCATTTCCACTGGGAGTAGAAATCTGAAACTTCATTTTTAAGCAGAAAATGGATCCAAGTTTCCCCATGTAGCCCAGGTTATGCAGGTCTGTGCCTCTCACTCACCAGCTGTAGGGGCTTGACCACCATGTTAGGCTTCTTATAAACTTTCTCTTCCGGCTCTCTCTGTTCCTTGGGAGGACAGTCCCATGCAGTCTCTTTGGTAGCAGCAATAGATAAGAAATTTCCAGAGGAAGTGGAGGTACAAACCTTGGCTTCAGTTTTCTTATCTGATTGAACTAAACTCGAAGTTCTGTCTGATGAAACAGCTCCATCTGAAATGGCCAAGAGAGTAGCCTAGGCATATATGTTACAGTAACTGCATGACTGCTACTAATTCCAGTACCCGTGCTAGCGAGACAGTGACAAATGAGAAATCAATGTAGCGTTGCACACATTTCTGTACAGATAGAGAAAGTTGCAGATGAGAAAAAAACCTTTATTTTTGCTTTTGTTTCGGGGATGGGAGGCAGCTTACTGTCTAGAACATGGCTGCATTTTTTTTAACATCCTGATTTCAAATTATTTTTTCTCAAACTATGTAGTGAACACTCAATATTGCTTAACATACAAGCACATGTGATGACTTAATATTCCATAATATGCTACCCTAATTTTATTAAATTCCTAGGTCAAATTTATATGTGAATGATGACAAGGGATTGGCCGACAAGAAGTTGGTACATTAAATGAGACTCTTAGTTTAATAGATGGACCCATCACTACAGCGGCTCTAAAGCTACAAACAAATGTTTTTGTAGAAATATCTATCACGGGCCTGGCGTGATGGCTCTTTGGATCTTTACAAAGATATACTATGGTGTTTTTTTTTTTTTTAATTGGCAAGTCAGATATATAGAGAGGAGAAGAGACAGAGAGGAAGATCTTTTGTCCTTTGATTCACTCCCCAAGAGGCCACAACAGCCGGAGCTGAGCTAATCTGAAGCCAGGAGCTAATCAGAAGCCAGGAGCCTCTTCCGGGACTCCCACATGGGTGCAGAGTCCCAAAGCTTTGGGCCGTCCTCAACTGCTTTCCCAGGCCACAAGCAGGGAGCTGGATGGGAAGCAGGGTTGCCAGGATTCGAACTGGTGCCCATATGGGATCCCAGCATCTGCAAGGCGAGGACTTTAGCTGCTAGCCTACTGTGCTGAGCCCTGGTGTTTTTAACAATGGTAAACACGGAAACAATCTAAATGGCCACCAACAGAAAAAGGTTAAGTGAATTAGAACACTGCATCAAGGAAAAATGTGTGGTTTAAAAAGATTAAATAGGGCCTGGTGTAATGCTTCAACTGAGTAAAACTCCCTCTTCAGGTGTCAGGATCCCATACGGGTACTGGTTTGTGTCCCAACTGCTCCACTTTCCATCCAGCTCCCTGCTTGTGGCCTGGGAAAGCAGTTGAGGACGGCCCAAAGCTTTGTGACCCTGTACTTGTGTGCAAGGCCCAGTAAAAGCTCCTGGCTAGGGATTAGCTTAGTTCTGGCCATTGCAGCCACTTGGGGGAGTGAACCAGTAGATGGAAGATCTTTCTCTCTGTCTCTCCTTCTTTTAGTAACATCTTCCTATGCAATAAAAACAGAAATCCTTTTTTTTTCCCCAAAGACTAAATAAACTTGTACATGTTAACATAGAAAAATATCCTCTTGTGTAAAGTACAAAAAGTACTCATGCAGGAACTATGACATAGCTCTTCTAAGATAATTAATGACCTAATACAGAGAAATACAGAATACATACACAAAAGCCATTAGCGCTACTATTTTTAGTGGTAGAACTGTTTACACAAGCATATGTTGTTTTTTGATTTAACAAAAATCTAATAATATTTACACATAAATTCAAAAATCTGGAAGACTATTAAAAGATTATAAATTTTACTCAAAGAATGGCAAAACGATGGCAAATATTCAACTTCTATTTGTGTTACCTGTATGTTTTTTCAAATGAACACAGGCTACCGTACTAATCATAAAAATTAATAATATTATCTGTGTTCTAGAAAAAAAAGCTGTCCATTATAATCACCTTATAAAAGCTTATAAAAATACATGTATCGTGGCAATTCAGGAATCATTGGAGAAACTAAGGAAAGGGTTTGTAGGATCTCTGTATTACAGTTGCATGTGGATCTACAGCTAGCTCCGTGAGAAGACAGACGTCTTCCAAGGCCCTGGTGCAGCAGCTGCCCTAGCAGCAGTGTGGGCTGCACCGGAGCCCTGCTACCCTACAGGGAGTGGCACTTCTAGAAGCTCCAACGCTTGCAGGTAGCCACCTTCTTGGACTTTCTGCCCTGCACCCCAGCTGCCCTAGCAGCTGCCTGAAGCATAGAAAGGCATAGTTAAAAAAAAATTAAGTGCCTTAAGTGTCATGTGGATTCCTGGGGTGGACAGAGAAGCTGAAAACGATAATTCTGGAAAAACTGGTAAAAGATGAACCACATGTGGAATTTAGTTAATACATCAATCCTAAATGTCTTATTTCTGACAAATATTTTAATATCAGGGGAAACTGGATGAAAAGACTATGGATTCTGCACTACACCTTAATTTGCACAAATCTAAAATAATCCTCCAATGAAAAATTTAAAATATACACAAGAGCAGGGTCCTGACGTGAACCTACTTATCTGAATCTCCATGTGTTTCTACAGAGTTTTTAATGTAACTTTAATGCACAAAGTTTACGACTACCAAAACAACACTTCATAAAGTTTATTTCCTTTAGACTTATTCAAGAATCTGGTAAGACAAAATTTCTTCCATGCAGTTAATTTTTACTAATACAAGTTAACATTATTATGTGAATACTTGGGGAAAGGGGTCATTATAAATCATTCCACGGCTCCTGTGTGATCTGCTCGGTTGATGGGATTACAACGAGCAGCAGGACCAGAGAGCTTTTTTCTACCCTGCCCCGATACTCACCAGGAGGCAGAGGTCTCACGTCGGCGTCAAACACCAGTATGTCTTGTTCTCCTTCCCTGAACTCAACACGGAGGATATCACTAAGAGCTCCAACAAGTTCTATCACATTGAGGAAGCCCAATTTTTTTAGAGAAAGTTGCTCTTTAAAAGTTACCTGTCACACACACACACACACACACAAATAGAAATTAGATAAAAATGCCAGACAGAACAAAGATATAACAGATGTCCTTGGAAAATAATTTGTATTTTACCAAAGTAAACTGTGCTTCCATACAGGTATAATGTAAATCGGAGACCAGTAATCTCTTCCGCCGGCATTAAGCTCCGCTTCAGGCACGTGCTAGGTTCAACTCAGGGGGACCTTTACAGCTCTCTGTCAAAACGCATGACTTTGTTGAGGAGAGCATGCTGTCATCTGCTGATTCGCTTCCCATATTCCCTCAATAAGCATGGCAAGAGGCACTGAACCTGTTGCTCATGATGCTGGCATTCTCTCTGGTTCACCTACCAGATGCTTCCCCTTCTGACCCAGGCCTTTACTAACAGCCTAGGAATGCAACAGAAGATGGTCCCAGTGGTTGCTGTCCTCCCACCCCCGACCCGCACGGAAGACCCAGATGAAGCTCTCAGCTCTGGCCACTGTAGACATCTGGTGAGTAAATCAGAGGATGGAAACTCTCTGTCTCCCCCTCCCTTTTTCCCTCTCTGTGCTTCAAATAAATGGTCACCTGTGAACATCCCAAGGGAAAACTGGCACAAGTCATTGGCGTCACAAGCCTCATTAACAGTGTCTTTACCTTGACCCTCTGAGTGATTAGCACTGGGCACACAAGTCAACTGGACCTAGGACTAGGCAGGAGAGGGCTGTCTGAAACGTGTCACTAATTTTTTTAGTAAGTAGCTTTTGTACAAAAAGTTTAAGAAGCAACCAACGAAAGTGAAGTCTCTCCTTCTCCCACCCGCTCCCCGCCAAATCCCTTGCCAGTCATCAACCATCACCCTCTCGGTGTCACCACTTTTATTAGTTTCTTGATTCATTTTCCTGAAAATGTCAACATGGGAATCTGCTGAGACTGGATTATATTGTATGTATTTTTTCAGTTACTGCAGAGATTATTCCATATTAATATATGAAACAGTCCAGTTTTGCTTTGCAGTCCAAGACTCGGTGCTTCTATTGAATTCAATTTATTGAAATGTAAGTGGTATTTTATCTCAAAATCCTTTAAGCTTTCTGCTTCACAGACTGCCCACTACAAGCAATGAAGAAAATGGTTTATTTATAGTCCCTCTCTCCTTACTTTCCTTCTACCCCAACTTAATTTTCTACCCTTTCTCCTGAGGGCTTAAGATTTCCTCCAAATCCACAACTGGACTCGGAGGCTCAGTCTGGTTCATCTTTAATCATTCCAGGAGGACCGTCTGTGTTACAGCTCTCTTTCCAAGGGACAGAGACTGTCTAGGTGCCTCTGTTCTCATGTTGCAAAGATCCATTCCTGACCAATGCCCGGGTCAATTACTGTACTGAGGATTTTAATGCAGTGATATTTTAACTGTATCACTTGATTCCCATTTCGTATTTATACAGATATGCTTCCCTTCATTCAAATGGCTCAGATGTCTTTAAAGTGGAGGCCAATGTGCTCACACTTAACTGAAGGGAAAATACAGAATATTTCAAGAATCATGAACAAAATAATTAAAGCCAGGTGCCGTTTTGTGACACAGCAGGTAGAGCTGCTGCCTGCAATACCGGCACACCATATGGGTACCAGTTTGTGTCCTGGCTGCTCCACTTCCAACCCAGCATCCTGTTAATGGTTTGGGAAAGGAAATGGTAACAGAGGATGACCCAAGTTTGGGTCCCTGCCAAACGTGGGAGACCAGATGCGGTGCCTGGCCAACCCCCAGCCACTGTGGCCATCTGGGAAGTGAACCAGTGCTTGATACATCTTTCTCTCCTTCCATGACTCTGTGTAACCCTACCTTTTAAATAAATAAATTAGGGCTAGCACTGTGTCACAGCAGATAAAACTACTTCTTTCAACACTAGCATCTCATACAAGTGCTAGTTTAAGTGCCAGCTGCTCCACTTCCAATCCAGCCTGGTGCAAACGTGCCTGGGAAAACGGCAGAAAGTGGCCAAGACCTTGAGCTTTTGTTGCCTATGGAGGAGACAAGAAGAGAATTCCTGGCTCTTGGCTTCAGCCTGGTACACTCCTGGACACTGACAAACTGGGGAGTGAACCAGCAAATAAAAATTCCTGTTTGTCCATCCCTGTTACTCCCTCTTTGTAACTCTTTCAAAATAAATAAATCTTGAGGAAAAACTCAAGTCAGAATGCCTTGGGTATCAACATCTCTCAGGTACAAGTGCCCCAAGAAACGAATCAGCTAGCGTAAGTTTGCAATTTAGGATTTCTGCTCACCCAATGAACTTTCTTCAAAAAACAACTACTGCGGAAACCCCCTATTGAAAGCCTTTCCAACAGCTACTACCCGATTCAGTGTTTCTGAACTGCAACACTTTAACAAATAAATGCTATTCCTGTGACCTCCATGTTGACTATTTTTGCACATAGGCCCTTTATAAGAATTTCTATTTCTGAAACTTCTGTGAAGACATATTGTAATTACAGTAATTTTGTGCATCCACTCTGATGATACACAACTTTCCTTTCATATTCCTATAGCATGGTGAATTATATTAATTTTTCACCTGAAGAGCAGAACAACAGAAATTTTCCACACACTAATGCATTCTAAGACCGGCTACAACAGACAGGAGCTCTGAACTCCATCCAGGTCAAGACTTGGTCCATCAACTGACGGCTCTCAGGGTGCATCAGCAGGAAATTGGATCAGAAGTATGGATGGAGCAGCTGGGACTTGAACTAGCACTCCAATAACCGATGTCACTGTCCCAAGAGACCGCTTACCTAGCAGAGTTGTAAGTCTTGCCCTTATTAATTCTTTCTGAAATGTTACTCCAGCCTTGCATTCTAGGGATAAATTTCTTTCCTCAGATATTATTGGATTTGATATACTACTATTGTCTAATTCATTCTTGTGTCCACATTATAAGAAATGTGACCTAATTTGTAAAAATGTTTGGAGGGAGATAATGTAATCAGAATTAGGGCACAATCTTTGCTATTTTATGAAAACAAACCTGTATGTGATTAATACAGTTTCTTCTTTAACTGTCTTATAGCAATCACTGTGAGACCACACGGACCTGGAATTTTGGTTTTCTCCTTCCCTCCGTTATTTGGTTTTTATTTTTTTAAGTTACAAACCCTTTTTGTTATGTCCAGTTTCCTCCTTCAGCTGCCTCAGTTTGGTGACGTGCATCTTTTAAGGAATCTGACCATCCAGGCTGTCAAAGCACAGGCACAGTTGTTTATTGTATTTCCTTCAGGTGTTTTTATGATCTTCAATCTGTAGAATCTATCACGACAAATTTGCTTTCCTTCCTGAAACTGGCCAATTTGTGTCCCCCTTTTCTTTTCAATCTTTGACTAACCAGTGGTTTAGCTATTTGGTTGAGCACTTAGCTTTGTCAATATCCTCTTGATTGCTACTTAATGAATCTTTATCATTTCCTTCTTCTGATTTACCAGTTTACTTTGTTCCTCTGTATTAAACTTCATTTATATCCTTAGGTCCATGAGCACTGTATACATATACATATAATGTATACATTATACACTCCATAGCATAAGCATTTAGAGCTACGAATCCACCTCTGAGCATGGCTTTAGCTGCGTCCCAAAATTTTTCATGTTATATTCCCATTAACTTTTAACTGTAAAATATTTTCCAATGCTTCTTGTGATTTCTTCTCTAATGAAGTATTTAGTATTTAGCATTAGTATTAATTCACAAATATTCATAGGGTTAATTCTTAAGTTACTGTGTTGATTCGCAAACTTGTACAACATAATTGGTTAAGACTTATCTGATGGCCAGCTGTATGGTTTACCTTGAAAAAATTCTGTGTTTAACTAAATAAAATATGCACTCTACAATCGCTGGTTATAACATTGTGCAGAAGTTAAACAGATCAAGGTGGTAAATAGAGTTGCTTATTTCCTATGCCTTTATTCACTTTTAAAAAACTGTAAGTTGAAGGGGGAAAGAGTGTTAAAATCACCAACTCAGTCCATTTTTAGATTATTTATCCTAAACTATTGTTACAGGAATAACTTACTGTTGTACATTTCGAAAGAACTGACTATACTTAAGAATCCCTCTTTTTCTGATAGTACGCTATGACCTGAATTCCACTTTATCCGGTGCTGTTTTAGTCACTTTAGTTCTTCTACGTTCACTACTTACTTTTTAAATCTTTTACTTTGAACCAATCTCTGCCTTTTATTTATAACGCACTTCTTGTGGAAAGCATTTCATCTTGCTTTTTCACTGCGATCACAACTTTTCTTTTTAGACTTTTTTATTTTCTTTTGAAAGGCAGATTTACAGAGAAAAAGAAAAACAGATCTTCCATCCAGTAGTTCACTTGGCATAAGGTCACAACAGCTGGAGCTAAGCTCATCTGAAGCCAGGAGCCGGCAGCTTCTGCTCTCCTATGTGGGTGTGGGGCCCTGGGCAGCAGGGCCATCTATCACTGCTTTCCCAGGTCTTAGGCATGGAGCTGGACCCCAAGTGGAGCTGCGGGACACGAACTGGTGCCCATCTGGCTGATGGCACTGCAGGCAGAGGACTAGCCTGTTATGCCACTGAGCCAGCAACAAGATCACCTTTCAATTGTAGTATTTAGTCTCTGTGAAATTATTAATAATCAGATTTAGTTACAATTTTAGTATTTTCTTGTTACTCCATCTGTATTTTGTTTGTTGCTATTTTCCTATCTTCCTTCGAGTTCACTGCATATTTAATACAATTCTCTTTCACCATCAGATTGTAGCTACATCCTAGACCCTGTCTAGTCTTACTGTTACTTCACACAGAATGTGAAAGCCAGCCATGTGCTGCTCCTCTAATCCATAAGACACAGTTGTTGTATTATAATTTTGTTATAAATAAACTATTTTATATTTTTCCTTTGCGTGGTCATTTTGATAGTTCAAAGAAGAATTCCTTATATACACCCACAAATTTGCATACTCTTTTTTCAACCCTTAAGATTCAGATTCGAACCTGGTATCACTTCCTTCATCATGAAGAACTTTCTCCAGCAGATATGTTCACAAAGTTTTAACTTTAATTACATGGAAATGTCTTTACCTTCATTTTTATCATTGTATATAAAATTAAGAATGTGTATGAGAGAGCCTGGCGCGATAGCATAGTGGTTAAAGTTCTCGCCTTGCACGCGCCAGGATCCCATATGGTCACCGGTTCTAATCCTGGCGGCCCTGCTTCCAATCCAGCTCCCTGTTTGTGGCCTGGGACAGCAGTTGAGGGCAGCCCAAAGTCTTGGAACCCTGCACCCGCATGGGAGACCCAGAAGAGCTCCTGGCTTCGGACTGGCTCAGCTCCAGCCATTGTGCTCACTTGGGAAGTGAACCATCAGATGGAAGACCTTCCTCTCTCTGTCTCTCCTCCTCTCTTTATATCTGGCTTTCCAATAAAAATAAATAAATCTTTAAAAAAATGTGTATGAGGTATTCAGTTTCTCCACATTCTCACTGATATTTGCTACTGTCAGACATTAGAAATAAGTTATGGGCCCGGTGTGGTAGCCTAGTGGCTGGGGTCCTCATCTTGCATGTGCCCCAGGAACCATATGGGTGCTGGTTCTTAACCCTGTGTCCCTGCTTCCCATCTAGCTCGCTGCTGGGCCTGGGAATGCAGTCAAGGACAGCCCAAAGCCTTGGGACCCTGCACCCACATGAGAGACCTGGAAGAGGCTCTGGGCTCCTGGTTTTGGATTGGCTCAACTCCGGCTGTTATAGCCGCTTGGGGAGTGAACCAGCAGATGCAGGACCTTCCTGTCTGTCTCTTCTCTCTGTGTATCTGCCTTCCCAATAAAAATTAATTAATTAATTAAAAAGTTACTCTGGGGTGTATTTTTGAACCTAGGGTCGGAACACCTGAACCCCTCATCAGAGGGCCTGGGTTCAGTTCCGGACTCTGCCTCCTGATTCCAATTTCCCACCTTTGTAGACTTTGGCAGGTTGCAGTGATGGCTCAAGTGAGTCCCATCACCCTGTGGGAAAGCCAGACTGTGCTCCCAGCTCTAGCTCCAGCCACTGTAGGTATTTACAGAATGAAGCAGCACATATGAGCTCAACCATCATCATCTAGCAGAGTGGGTAAAGCTGCCATCTGTGGCACCAACATCCCAGAGGGGGATTAGTCAACAGGGGGATTAGCTGCTCCATTCCCATCCAGCTCCTCCAGAGGACGGCCCCTGCACTCACGTGGGAGACCTGGAAGAAGCTCCTGGCTCCTGGCTGCAGCTGGCTCAGCCCTGGCTGGTGTGTTCACTCAGGAGTGCATCACCACCTGAATCTCTCTCTCCCTAACCCTCTCCGGAACTCTGCCTTTCAAATTAATAAACAAGTCTTTTAAAACACTTCACTCCAATTATGTAACAATACAAGTATCTTTCCTGTACATAAGCATTGGTTAAGAGCTATATTCTTAACTCTAATGAAGAAAAATATAATAAAATTTAACACAAGATATTTAAGTGTTAAAAACTATAGAATTGGAGGATCCAAGAAGCAATACAATTTTTTATAAGAAACATAAGCAGGGCCTGGCACAGTAGCCTAATGGCTAAAGTCCTTGGTTTTACATGTGCCAGGATCATGTATGGGCCCAGTTCGTATCCCACCTGCTCCATGCCACTTCCAGCTCCCTGCTTCTGACCTGGGAAAGCAGACAAGGATGGCCCACAGTCTTGGGGCCCTGCACCCACATGGCAGGCCAGGAAGAAGCTCCAGGCTCTTGGCTTCAGATTGGCTCAGCTCTGGCTGTTGCAGCCACTTGGGGAGTGAACCAGCAGAGAGAGGTTCTTTCTGTCTCTCCTCCTCTTTGTAAATCTGGCTTTCCAATAAAAATAAAAAAATCTTTAAAAAACTGTCTCAAAAAGAAACATGAGCAAAACAAACAAAAAAAATAGGGCCAATAAAAAGCACTTACCTCAAACTCTCTAAGCAGTTTACAGAGAAACAAACCCTCTGGGAACTTAGACACAACCTAATAAATGAAAAATGAGATACAGAGGCATGAATACAACGTGGGATAAAAGCTAACAATGACCCTGTGACAAAGGCAAACAACGGTGTCAGCCCGATCAAGTCACTTCCACGTTGTACTTTTTAAAAAAGTTAAAAAAAAAAAAAACAAAAACACAAAAAAACCTGCTACAACCACTACCAACACGACCGTGATTTCCAACACGAACAATCATGACACGAAACACCCATGTCTCAAGTCCTGAAAAATCCCCACACTTCTCTAGCCCAGCTATTTAGCTATAGCTCCACACAAAATTAAAATTTTTGTAACACATTTTTAACCATTTCCTTTGTCAGAAAAGAAATGCAACAAAAGCTACAGAAAATTCTGGCAAACAATTAGGCTAAGGCAAAAATCTCCAAAATAAAATTTAACACAAGATACTTAAGTGTTGAAAAGTACAGAATTGGAGGATCCAAAAAGCAATACCATTTTTTATAAGAAACATAAGCAGGGCCTGGTACAGTAGCCTAGTGGCTAAAGTCCTTGGTTTAGTGTTTACACACACACACACACACACACACACACACGAGACCTTTAATATAAAAGCACTATTCTCTAACCAGCTTTTAGACATCACAGCTCTTTCCATGTCAGTAAATACAGATCAACACTTTTATTGACTATAGATCTAGCAAAAGCCTCAGCACATCTGAATTTAGTTATCTAAGCCTCTACTTCTGGCTGTTTCTTATTTTGCATTATACATATTGCAATGGTTACCCTTGTGGATTAATAGAGACATAAATTTTCTTACAAACTGTATGACATTCCTTAGTTTCAGAGGGTAATTTCACCACTTTCTTTAAAGTGCACAATCTTTCTTTAATGTCTTGGTGCCATAACCAAGTCATACTGAACATCCCTGAACAAATAATTATTGGGCACTTGCCTGAATGTCTTAAGGGTTCTTGCATTTCTTCCAGTAAAATCTTAAGAGCTTAACTGGACTATGTAAGACTATATAAGACATTGCAGTAAGAGCTCTAAGGGGCCTCCAGTTACTCAAATCAGGGCTAACAGCTCCTACCAAAACCTTGAGTGTCCACACCTTTCCATCCAGTACCCAACAACCAAAGAGCTTTCACATGTTAATGAAAAATGTACAGATCCAGGACATGAACGGGGGGGGGGGGTCCAATAAAAAATACAAATGCCTACCAAGCACATTAAAAGCCAATGTAAAAAGAGATACAATTATAACTTCACTAGGTAATAACACTTTACCACCAGTGGAAATTAAAATTTGTGCAATCTTTCAAATCATTATCTGGCAAGTTTTATCATCATTAACAAAATATTCAAAGTCTGACTGGTAATTCCATTTTTAAATAAATATTTAAGGACATTAACTGCAGCATGTTTTCAATAGCCAAATGGTAAAACAACACAAACTTTCATTGATCCTGGATCTGGCAAAGGAAGTAGTATACCACATCAACATAATGGAGTCTCACACACTTGGAATACTTGACATACACATTTATAAACCTGGCATTATAAAGATCTTCATGAGTGATTTGTTGGAGTGTGGGAAAATTGGAAGGGACAGAAAAAATTTATAGGAAGAACATGTATTTCCTAAATAGTTCAAGACTAAAAATTTTTAAGAAAGTGTATTTTCTTTTTTCCACTTAAAACAGCCACTCTGCAGCATATCAGAAAATATTTGTTACAAACATAAAAATAACACTTGCAGACAAATTACATTCAATCACAATGGATACTCTATATTTATAGTCAATTTTTCTTATGTACTTTCCAGAAATAGAAAACACTTACAAACTTGATTTTTTGTTTTAGTTCTGGATCGATTGTCCCTCCAGGTCCAACTTGTGCAAGAACTGACTTGAATGTGTTCTCCAACTATTCAAAACAACAAAAACAGGTGAGCTCAATCTCCTCCTTGAGAGTCAAAGATACATCTAAATCACATGAAGAGAAATGCCTCTAAAAGCAAGCTGATGTCAGTGGGGTGCACAGCACTGCTCCCCGGAAGAGGCTGTCATATCGTGTAATGCACACGTAGGGATGGACTCTGCCTGCTTTGGCAGTGCTGTGACCTTCAGCATTGCCAGTCAGCTCTCACCCACTCCGACCATATCAAGTCTTCTGGAAAGGATGATGAGGATGAGATAACAAAGTACAGAGCTGTGCACAGGCAGGGAAGGGGCAGCCCAGACAGCTCTGTGGCACCTGGCCTCAACGCGCCTGCCCTGGGCGTCTCCACAGCCTTCATGGCACATGCGTGGCTCTCTGGGAGCACCCTAGAGGCTTGCTTCTGGAAGCCTGCTCCAGAGAAATGCTATGAGTGCTGGGGGCCCTCCTCACCACCAGGCCCTGCAGGAGCTCTGCAGGGCTCACCCTGCAATGCAGGCGATGCAACCTCTGTGCAACTCAACACTGGGCTTTCCAGGGAGTCTCTCAGGCAGAGTTCTGAGTCTTCAATTACTCCATCCCACACTCCTCCAAGAAATGAGTTTTTGTTAACTCATTTTCACTTATTTATAGAACCATTTAGTGTTTACTGAACACATTCTTAGGCTGGGATGGTGGGCAGGGGAATAAGTGAGAGTAGGAGACGAGCAGAACCACTGGGCTGCAGGTATAAGCTCTTTCACGACAGAAGCAAAGGGAAAACAAACTAGCATGGGTTCCAAACGGATCTGGAAAGTGGGGCTACTGGCAGACAGGATCACTCAGAAGCCGAGTCGGCACCAAAACACGGGTGGGAAGAGGTCAGACGTTTCAGAAAACATAAAGGACCTGGTAGGGAGAAGTAGAAATTGGAGGCCCGAGCTGAGACAGCAAGAGTCTGAGGTAAATCAGAGCCAGTCACCTGAGGAGGCCTCAGTAAAGCAAGATGACACCTGGGGTGAGTACAAAGCAAGCCCCGAGCAGAGGGGTCACACCAAAGCGCACGGAGAGTGGGGGGGTCACAGCCAGTGCAGCATGCAGTGAGTCCACGTGGCCAGCAGCCACTCAGCAAACAGCAGAGGAGAGCTAAAGGGTACAGGACTGTGTACACACAGATTACTAACGCTCACAAACTCAGGAAAAAAATCAGAAAAGTCACAAAGGTATAAAGAAAAGTGATCTAAATGCTCTCATCCACACACAATCATCACTCCCTCTTCCTTCTAAAGCTATTCTCGCTTTGCTCTTCTCACTGCTAGTTGGAATGCCACTGTGTACAGTGTGACCTTCAGAAGCCTTGCAGTCTCAGGCTCTCACACAGCTGGTGTGACATCTAAGAGGTAAGGCACAGACAGTGCCTGCTTATCCTGGTGCATGCTGGGGCCAGCCCCCAGAGTGTGTCCACGGGACCCCTGCCTGTCTCCCCGGACCTCTCCGGCCACTCCTGGCTCCTTTCCCACCTAACATCATAATCATCTTATGTAGCAAGCGGCCCTTCTAAAACCCATTCCCCAGTTTCCACACCTCCCTGGCACCTCTATGTGGATCTGGGAAGGGAGGAGTTCGTTCCCACAGCTGTAATACTGGCTTCCCCCAACAGCCCCGCCCTTGACTGAAGAGTCTTTATGAAGAGTTTGCAGGTGAATAGGAATCTAAAGAGAAAAAACTTTCACTTCCCAACATGCATGCTTCCACCATTTGAAGGTTCAGTACAAAAGCTTACTAAATTATCAGTGCTATGGGAGCAGAGAGAGCAACCAGGCATTGAACCAAGGCCCACATGGGATGCCAGAACTGCAGGCAGCAGTGGATTAACCTGCTAAACAGTGCTGGCCCCAGAAATGACTATTTCAGTGTTTAAATTTTACTGGAGCACAGCCACGCTCATTCACATACTGTGTACGGCTCTTTTTATACTCTAAGAGTTACTGAGTGAGTTACCAGGTGGCCTGCCAAGCCTCAAATACTTACTATGTGGTCTGTTAGAGAAAATAATTTTCCAAGCTTGGGATTAAGATATCAGAATGACAGGCTCAAAGCTAAGGAGAGAAATCAGATATGGCTATTTGCCTTTCATTACAAAATTATTTTTAAAGTAACATCTATTTCATGATTCACCAAAGAAATGTATTGTGCACACTCTATGCCCATATTGTACAGGGACTGGATATACAGGGGTACATGATATATACACAGCCCTTACCCACATGGAATCTGAGGTCAAGTGTGGATAGGAGACAATCGTAAACACACACAGTTACTACATGCTGTGCAAACCCAGAGTCCACATGAGCTCTCTCACAAGCAGAGCGCAAAACCTGAAACTCACAGGACAGGATGGCAGCCATCGGACACTAAACGTGTGGGCAAACTGCAGGTGTTGGTGAAGGGACATCAAATCTTAATGACAGAGGGAGTCAAGTTCAAGAGAGCTATTCTACATCATGGTCATTACACACATTAGTGCTATATAAAGGCCTTGAAAATTTTCAAAAGTAGCTTTTAAAATTAGTTACTTTTAATAAAGTTGGGTTTTTAAAAAATTTTTATTGGAAATGCAGAATTACATTGAGGAGACAGAATGATCTTCCATCTACTGGTGGCATGGGGGTATAGCAGGCTAATACTCTACCTGCAAGAGCTGGAATCCCCTTTGAGTGCTGGTTCCTGTCCTGGCTGCGCCACCTTCGATCCAGCTCTCTGCTTGTGGCCTGGAAAAGCAGTGGAGGACGGCCCACAGAGCTGAGCCTCTGCGCCCATGAGGGAGGCTGGGAAGAAGGTCCTGGCTCCCAGTTATAGATCAGCTCAGCCTAGGCCTCCGTGACCACTTAGGGAGTGAAGAAGCAGGTCAAAGACCTCTCTCTCCATTTCTTCTCTTTGTGAAAGACCTCTTTTGTTTCTCCTCTTTGTAAAAATCTGCCTTTTCTTCAGTATACACTGATGCTTGCAAGAGCCAGGGTGGGTGTAGGACAGGCTGGGCTAAGTCTGAGCATCCACTGAGCTTCACAAAAACTGAGTTTGGGGGTGGACCAGGCTGGACTAGGCTGTAGCATCCAACAGTAAGAGCCAGAATAGGTGTGTGCCAGCTGGGCAAGGTTGCTGTACCTGCCAGGACAGGAGGTGGGCAAGTCAGCCAAGGCCAAGAACCCACTGATACGTGCAAGATCTGTGACTGGGAGGTGACTTAATAAAGCGCGTGGGAAATGCCTCTCTCAGGACACAGTCCCTGCAGGTGAGCACAAGAACTGAGGCTGGGAGCAGCCCAGACCAAGCCAGGTTACAGTATCCACTGTATACATGTGGGGTCAGATATGGGGATGGGCTGGTTGGGCTAGTTCATAGCACCCACTGGCAGATAGGAACCTGGATGGGGTATAGTACAGGCCAGGTTAGGCCACAACACATGACAGTTCATATCAGGGCCAGGACTGGGGGCTGTCCAAGCTGAGCCAGGCTGTAGCATTCGCTGGTGATTGCCAAAGTGAGGTGAGCCATGCCAGTCTGGGTCACAGCTCTCACTAGCACACATGAGACCTAGCAGGAGGTGGCGATAAAGCAGAATCCCGGTACAGGGGCTGCAAGGACTCTCCTCCTGGACTACTGCTCCTGCTGGTGAGAGAGCTGGGACTGAGGGCAGACAAGCTGGGCAGGGCTATAACACCCATTGGTCTGTACATGACCTAGGTTAGGGGGAGAGCCAGGTTGGGCTATGTGACTATATCCACTGACGCATGTATGAGCCAGAGTAAGTACAGGCTGGTTGGGTTTTGCTGCAGCATTGGTTGGTAAGTGCTTGGCCTGGGGGCCAGCCATGTGAAGTTAGACTGCAGAACCATCTGGAAAGTGCAAGATTCAGAACTGAGAGTGGGCCTAGTAGAAAAACTGTGGGCTTCCCTCTGGTGGGCTACAGCTCCCACTGGTGAGCATAACAACAAGGGCTGGGGATGGACCTGGCTGGATGGGTGTAAGCACACAGCATTAATGTGGGCTAGACAGTGGGGTTGGTCAGGCTGGGCTAGGCTGCAGCATTCAATCTTTACAAAAGTCAAATGGAATGTGGGACCAAGCAAGTACTGCCATGCACATGAACAGAACCTGGCGGTAGGCCTGGTGGGATTTTGGAGGGCCACTCCAACTAGGCTCCAGTTCCTGTTGGTGTGTACGAGGGCCAAGTGTGTGGTGGGCAGCACTGGGCCACAGCATCCATCAGTGTGCGTATGAGATGGGGCTGGAGACAGAACTGACCAGACAACTGCAACCACTAGCGGGTGTATAGGCTGATGTGGGTGACAGACTGAGCTGGACCCCGCATTGGCTGGTACACACAAAAGTCAGATCACTTCACATGAGGTTTCTATGGGGACCCCCACCTCTAACTGGACCACTGGTTTCAAAACTCCAATCACAGGGAAAAATCATAGGATCTGTGTTCTGACTGTGGAGTACATGTGTCAGAACTGGACCTCCTCAGTTATGAAGCCTGTGCAGTGGACGGCATGCCCAGATGTACATGGGGGACATGACGGATCACTGAGGCTTGCAGAGAACATCCAGTACCATGGAGGGCAGAACAAATTGGACAGCTCTCAGCCAAGCTTTGACAGCAAGTAACTGGGTGAATGGGACTCTAAGGTGGACTATGTCAGTCAAAGGACCTTGGAAGGATTTCCTCATCCTTAGAACAATGAAAGCAACAGCATTTCAGAATTACTGAAACCACCTGAGCAGCACCCTCAGAGCATGCTCCACACTGGGGATCCTGGGATGACAATGGGTGGCCGTCCTCCATCCCCAGGTACTGATGTGGTTAGGATGCTGGGTGCAGCTTCTCCCCTACTTTCCCTCCTCCCCCAGATACAGGAAGCAGAAAAGGAAAATTGGAAACTGGTCTCATCCACTTTCTCCCATTTCTTGATCCACACCACTCTAATCAGTGGTCTACATGGCCA